CAATCAAGATCCCCAGTTTCACCCGTTCAAAAAAAAAAGCCATTCAACCCACTTCTCCCACACGACCTTATCGACCCTGATTTTCCTCTTTTTTCGACCCCTCACCCTTCCTCCGACTCACCTCAATACACCACTCCAAAGCCTCCTCCCACGTCTCCTCCATTTCGTTATCCACGACGTTCCACCCCATATGCTTCAGCCCCTTCACTGCCAAATCGCGAAAGAACCACCAACTCGGCAGGAAATTCAGCTTCGCCAGGGCTGCAAGCTTGAGCGGCGAAAACATGGCTCCGTACTGGCAGGCGCGCTGCAGCAGGTCGCCGTGCGTGAAGGCTACGTTCCACATGGCGTGTGCGATGTCGTTGATGTGCTTGCTGGTCAGGTACTTCGTGGTGTGCGGGAAGGGGGGGAGGAGGTGTGGGTTCGATTGCAAGACGTGTTGGAGGAGGCCGGAGAGGAGGCGGTTGATTTCGGCGTTGGTGGTTTCGCAGCATGTAGGTGGAGGTGGATGTGGTGGTGCGGGTGTCGGTGTGGTTGGTCGGAGGGAAGGAGAAGGGAAGTCGATTGGGGGCTCGAGAGTTGGTGAGCTGGTGGCCTGGTTGGGCGGCTCGTTCATGTTCATCATTCGAACGTTGCTGGGATATTGCCACTGGTTGTTGTGATGTGGTGTGCTTACGCTGGTCTCCGCGTCGTTCGTTTCATTTGTAGAGGCGTCTGGCGATGAGGTCATCTGGGCCATTGGTGCTATGAATCTATATGGATTGGTGTTGAGTGGTCGATCAGGAAAGCTCATCTGGTAAGGTTCTGTCAATTTATGTCTTAGTGACGCTAAGAGCAAACTCACCTTGGCTTCGATCTTTCTTCTATTCACCATGGTAAGGAGAGTATCGACGACTGCTTTCTCGGACTTTCGACGAATCGAAATCGTTCGTTTCTTCCGGGTTTTATGTGCGGAGTGACAGAGAAAGTGAGGTTATCAGCTGCTGATAGGCTTTTGTAGAGTGAATGAACCTGGAGTTGAATTCACAAGTCCCCACAAAACCTGAAAAGTGTCTTTTCACTGCTCAACCATTTATGGTTTTCGTTCGTTTCGTTGGTAGTGGTGCAGCTTTTGTCACTGTAGTGACTATCGGGGTACGCTCAAGTAATGTGAATGAGAGGGAAGAAGATGTAATGGTAAACCGTGAATGTGAAGCGCGTGCGGAACTAGAAAGCCTACTAGCAGATGTTTTTTTATGTATGAGATGACATAGGCAAGGTAGTGACTGCAATGCTAAAGTAGAAACTCTAGTTTAGTCAAGCATGGCAGAGGCAATTACGATGTGCTAAGTCTTTTTCAGCTGCCTTATTGAACTTTGTGTGAAACAGAGTCACTGCTGTAAAAGTCTTGAAGAAGGTGCGTAGCCTCTGCTTAACACATACTTGAACGGCTCGATTGACCCACCAAGCAACGTACTGAGATATGGATGACAAAGATTGCATGTGCGATTTTCAGGCAACTTTCATGTAAAATCAAAGTCGGATATAGAACACGGTATGGGAGTGGAAGAAAATAGATAAGGCAAACGTGAAGAATGCACAGCTTGGTGGAACCAATCAAATGTAAAAGGGAAATTTATTATGAATACCCATGACAGCTCGTATTCAGGATAGGATTCAAAGTCTGGACATGACAGAATGATCTTCTCGGTAGTTAAATTCACCATAAAGCTGGTACCCTTCGGCACCTGGGTATCTTTGTTCCCAGAATAACTACACCGCCATTCCAAAGTTTCTCTCTTGCAGTAGGATATGGATGGTGTATCTCATTCTGAACTCCTTGCGTCCATCACTGTGACAATTTCTCGTAAAATAGGGTTTGAGCTGACACAAATGCTAAGCCCGCCCACGCGCCACCTTCCGCTTCGCTCTTGTCTTCTTCGGGGGTGGCGTTTTCTCTTCCTCAGAATCGCCAATATCCTCTTCCCCAGACTCCATCACCTCATCTTCACTCTCTTGCTTGGCTTTCTTTTTCGGCCGACTGCTCGTTTTCTGCTTCTTTCGGTTGGCTTCGAATAGTTCCTCAGGCGGTTCCTCCATGGGTGTGGATCGCTTGGAGCCTCGTGATTTAGGCGCATACTTGGCCTCAAGAGAATCAAAGAAGTTGCCTGCTCGTGCCTTTTGTCGTTGTTGGATTAGAGCTGCTAGTCCTGCCATGTCATCTGTGCCGCTCTTCTTGCTCTTGGGCTTTGCTTTCGCCTTTGCTTTTCCTTTGGTAGGCTCTGCCCTCTCTTCTTGTTCCTGAGCCTGCTGCTTGTCAAAGGCTTCGCGTCTCTTCCTCTCTGCATCCTTGGCTTTTTCGCGAGTCTCGTCCGTCTCTTTCTCATACGCAGGATATGAGCTAACCGTGCCATTGGCGATCTCTTCGTCTAGAATCTTCCTGAACCGCTCGTCGTCCACCAAGATATCGGATAGCATGACAATATCGTATACTTTGTTCAGATTGCCCTTGGTCTTCTTGAATGCGTTGATCAAGTCCTTGCGCTCCTCTTCGCTGCCTTTGTATTCATCCGAAATCTTACTGATAGTTTCTTCGTTGATGATATTCCTAAACTGCTCGCGGAAGAAGTCAAGCCAGTTAAAGTCTTCATCGTCTTCCAGGGTCTCCGCTGTGCTGCCGGTAAGATCGTAACGCTTACGCCTTCGGTCGTCGGAAAGTACTGCGTACGCGAATGCGATCTCTTGAAAGGCCTTGTTGGCGGCTTCTTTCTCATCGGGCGCAGCCTTATCTGCAGTCGTCAGTAAGGGAGGAGCCAAATACCTAACGAGAGAGCGTACCTGGATGACACTTGAGTGCCATTTTGCGATATGCTTTTTTCACATCATCCGCTGTTGCTTGAGACTCAAGGCCCAGAACCTCATATGGGTCAATAGTAGGTGGGCCTTCGTCACCAAGATCATGCTCTTCGCCCTCGCTGTCATGATCGTTGGGGAAGTCTTCTTCCATGGGATCTTCTGCCTCTGTGGTTTTGCGTTGTTTCTTCGCCATGTTGTTTGATTGTTGTTGTGTTGGTATGAGAAGTGAGGCAGTGTTAGGTTGGTGAATCAAGGGACGCGACGCGACAGTGAGCCCGGACTTAGCGGAGCTAACTACTAGCCCCACTGTTCTCTCTATCATCTGTTGACTAGAACACGCATTATTTCACTCATCTCCCCTCACCCAAAATGTCAACATTACTCGACTGGGATGGCCCGGTGCCTCCTATGGCCGGCCCAGATCCCAACGACCACCTCCAGTACATGCGCTTAGCCCTTGATCAAGCGCAAGAATCACCTCCAAAGCCCTCAAACTTTCGAGTGGGAGCCTTATTGGTCGACGCAGATACTGGCACGATCTTATCAAGGGGCTACACTCTAGAATGCGAGGGTAACACGCATGCAGAGCAATGCTGTCTTTTGAAGTTTGCCAAAGAACACAACTTGCCAGAAGAACGGGTTGGCGAAGCCCTTCCTCCAAATACCTCCATATACACTACCATGGAGCCTTGCAATCTTCGACTAAGTGGCAACCTGCCGTGCACAGACCGGATCATCAGAAGCAAGGGGGCAAATGGAGAGCAAAAAATTAAGAGGGTCTACCTAGGCGTCAAGGAGCCAGAAAAGTTCGTTGGCGAGAATCAGGGAAGGAAGAAATTAGAGGAAAATGGTATCGAATGCATTCATGTACCTGGTCTGGAGAATCGGATATTGGATGTCGCTACCGCAGGCCATGTGCAGTAAATGATTGTATATTAGAATGTTCAGATCTACGGGTGCAATGCTTGAAGTCAGATCTTCACATGACACGAGCAAATTGCAACGAGAAAGTGCCGAAGGGAAACCATCGATACAATCGTAACAGCTCCAACGTACAGAAGATATCAGGGCACAAGCTGTATTATAAAAAGATACAGTATGACACAGGTTACATGCACAATCCAACATCGGGAGTCGATTCTCGCTCGCGAAATCCCCCGCGTTCTCGAGATCGTCTGGCTCAATCTCACCTGGGAAGACCGATGGCGTCATGACTATTTCCACACGAATGCATCCCACCACCAGCATCGATGAAGACGCATTGCGCAACCAAAGAACGCCCCCCTAACAAAGCAACACATCGTTCTCAATCTCGATATGACGCATTTCACACACGCACGTGGTCGGGGCAATCCCCCCAAAAAAGAAGTCTCTTGGACACAACGGCATATATTTAATTCGTATCTCTTACCCCGGCAAATCTCACTTACTTTCTCACAATGCTAAGCTACATCCGCCCAGCTCCTAGCCAAACACTCAGAACATTTACAACACCCGCGTGCACCCGCATTCTCAGACCCAGCAGAGCAACCATGGCGACCTCAGCTTCAAACATCAACATCGAGACCAAGGACGTGCAAACCGCACCTGGCGTTACCCTGAGTGACTCGCAGAAAACGGTCGTGCGCTCGGTACTAGACCTGTTCGCCGGGCGTCCTTCGTTACGCAAACTATCGCTGTGGCGCGACGACGCCACCTTTGTGGACCCTCTTACTATTGCCCAGGGCCGCAGCAAGTATGCCGCGCAGTGGTACGGACTCAAAGCCGCGTTTTCGGAAATCGAGCGGTTGGAGCACCAGGTCAAGGATGCAGGGAACCCTATTCTGATGGATCTCAAGACGAGATATGTGGTCAAGGGGATTGGCAAAGAGCAGGTTATTCAGAGTGAGGTTGTGATTCATTTGGATAGCGAAGGCAAGATTGAGAAGCTTGAGGACAAGTGGAATGGGAAGTTGCCTGAGAATGTGATTGCGAATGTGAGTTTGATTGGAAATTTGTTAACATGAAATAGACTGCTGACAACTTTTTGGATAGGCTTTCCGGCACCTGAATGCTGTTTCGGTACCTCTTTTGATCAAGGTACCAAAGGATGATGAAGAAGATGCAAAGATGGGTAACCTGTGATCGAAGTACATGTATTCGTAATTCGTAAAATCGTAATCGCGGTTACTGTCTATCTGATTATGCTCCGTTGAACATTCTCCCTAACGCAAAATGCATAAAGAATGCAACGATGCCCGCACCCGCGCTCAGCACCTTCAAGCTTGGGGCTCCCGCAACGATCAAGATTGTGCCACATGATCCCTGTCCAGCTCTTGGTAGGTCGGGCCCATTCATAGTGACGGTGGCGCAGAAGCCACCTTGGGCAGGGTTTGGCTGGTGGTACACCGTGGTCTGAGGTGGCACAGCGTAGACTGTTTGCTGCTGAGGATATACCGTCACAGTAGTGATTTGCGCAACGTTGACGACTCCTCCACACTGATTTCCGTTTGGACAACAGCCAATCAATCCGTTGGAGTTGGCGGGAACGGCGCATTGGTAATTTGACGGGCAACACCTGGTCCTGATCAGCAAAGGGACCACTTTTGTACATGCTTCTTCTACTACTTACCAACTAGGGTGGTCGACATTACTACAGCTTACTGAGGCGGACGATGGACACAAATTCTGATCTTGTGCGACAACTTGCTGTCCCTCTGGATTCACAATATACACGGCGCCAGAGAAAGGTGCATTATTTGTGTACTGTTGCGGTATAGCTTCTGGCTTTGCGATCGGCTCCGCAGTACAGACCGTCAGCGACGACAAGAACAGGCTCCATGGCGTAAGGAATCGCATTGCGCTAACTAGTGAGGGCAGAGGCGGACAGAGGATGGGATGGGATTAACGAGTCCTCACAATAACGAAGCGACTATGCGATTTGCTGTAAAATGGTAGGGTTAGTAGTGCGATCCGAAAAAGCCGGAACTCGAGGAGAGAAGAGGATTGGGAGCCAGCAGTCGTCGGGCGCGCAACACAGGGCTGCTACCTTGCTTATGAACTGGGCGGACTATGGCCTTGGAAGCTCTACAAAGAGCTGGGATAGCTCCGAAGCTTGCTGCATATGGAGCTAACTGGTCGCGGAAGACAGCATCATGCCGGGCGCTTGGTGGGGACGCGCATCATCGGCAGCCCTGACTGCATCGCGGGTCTAGCACAATATTCAGTGGGCCGATTTCATTGCTTTTTTTGCGGTGGACGACGAAACGGCGGTGTTGAGGTGCGCTGGTTCTGTCGTGGTCGGGTGGATCCTGAATCATGCTTGCCGCCCAACATCTGGAAGGAGAAAGTTGCGTGGCAGGAAGAGGGTACCTAGGGCCCAAAGCTGACTTTTTCGCGATCCGAAAAGCCTGGATTGCTCCCTGCAAGTCTGCGCAAGCCCCGGTCTTGGTAGCGGCAGTGTCGGATGGTGTGGCATAGTGAGGCGCATGCATGTGTGCCTATGGTGAGCCCAAGTGCGCGGATCATCCGGTAAGGTGGGGGTTTACTAAACAAGTTAAGTCCCTGGACTCGAGAGAGAATCACGTGATAGCGTAAACGGGGCGTGCCTCGTTTCGCGTCGCGTGAACCTCGCTTCCATCCCACCTTGGGCATTGTCACCACAATATGACATGTCAACGCTCCGGCCGACGCGCCCCTACCGACTGTATCCCGCTTATTGCTTTGGTGCATCTCCGACCTTCAATACATGGGTGAAGCTCACTGTTGCCGATGTGCATGTTCTCCGGTCCGAGAAGGACTTTGAAGGTGATAGCCGCCACTGTCTTGTAATACCCAACTGTCGCTGAGACATCCGCAGGACAGCGCATCTACTTCTATCATAATCACCCTATTCGATATGTCCGCATAGTCGGCGTTGTTGTAGCCATCGATGACATCAACCTCAAGTATACGGTCCTCACCATCGATGACGGAAGCGGAGCGATTATCGAGCTGAAGATTGTGCGGGAGCTCCCAGCCGAGAAGAATCCCGTTGATACCTCCTCACCCACGGAGGTTGAAAATGTTGAAGTCATCAGTCGGCTTGGCGTCTTTGATGTTACAGTAGACAAGCAACCCTTGGACATTGGATCCGTCATTAAAGCCAAATGCACAGTATCCGAGTTCAGAGGCATGAAGCAGCTGGAATTGAAGCGGGTCTCTCTTGTTACAACAACGGATGAAGAAGCACGTGCCTGGGCAGAGACGGCTACATTCAAGCAAAAAGTACTGTCCAAGCCATGGCACATTTCTTCGAGCGAGCATAAGAAGATCAAACACGATATCAAGACTGAGAAGAAGCGACAGCGAGAATATGAGCGACGCAAGGCAGAGTATGAAGTCAAGAAAGAAGAACATAGACTGGCGAGAGAGGCTTATTATGAACAAAGAGAAAAGAGGCTCGAGGCTCGGCGCCGGAAAGAGGAGGTTGTGATGAATGCGGGGGCCCTGATTTGAGGCATGCGTGGATTGAGAAAGCAAAGCGGTGATCACGTCCTGAATCACATTTTAGCTCTTTAAATGTCCTTAACGAAGAGTTTCTTACGATCCTAGTATCACGCATCATGTGAGAAGTTTGGAGTTGGTTCGCCTGTTGCGTCATATGTTCTACATGCAGTCCTCATCAGCCATGGCAGAAACAGGTGATCCAGTAGAAATCCCGGTGTTCGTCCTGTAACCAAACGATAACCGAAGACGGACACGTCCAGTATCTTAGCACAGCTGCAGCTGGTGAGAGTAGAGGTTCTTACAACTAATCAGATCGCATTTCTTCGTGTACATACCATAAACGATGCGCTTGTATTATTTGATGGGTACAGTTCTGGTGGGATAGTGAGGAGGGTTCGATGTAGAATGTAGTCGTGTATCTTGAGTCTAGGGATATGGGGATATGGGGAAGTTGTTGGAATCAGGCTGAACTGGGAATCCCATTTGAGCGCCATCTTTCACAGAACTAATATCCGCGGAAGCGCGGAGGGAGGCGATTAAAGCGGTGGTGAATGCTGCTTTGTGGCACGGTATAGTTGTGAGTTGCGCCAGAATGTGGGATTGAGTTGCACGTTAGATTGTCAGTTGTGGGTGATTGACTGCTATGCTATGGTAGATGGCTGCTAGAACTAGCTGCGAATGCATTTTCCAATCTATCACGCTCGTCTTCCAAATTTCCCTAATCCCGTAGCTGATTTGTTACTGGTATCCGAGGTCTGGCGATATTCTCAGAAGATGGATGGATCTTGTTCCCTGCACGTATGTAAGTACTTGCGATTTTTCCACCAGCTAACAACCTTCATCACTCTCATCCCTTTCATGTTCCCGTTTCGCCAGTTGTATTCTGCTAGCCAATAGACATAGTTCCATCCCTTGCCTAACATATCAGCTCACGCTGTATTACAACCAGCAGTTGTGTTCAGTCCTCTGAGGCGTCACTGAACCCCGCTAGCAAACCAGGCCAGGAACGGCACCAACCGGGGTCGTCCGCTTGACTACTTCTAGACCCATTTCTCAACTACGCCGCATGCAGCATCTATCCACCTTCCTCGTACAACAGCGTCTATCCACCAATCAACCGCATATGCAGGCGAATCTCATATGTTCTGAGGGACCTGCATATGGGGTGTATTCGCCATGCAGGTCAACACTTTATACCAGAAGCGCCCAGCCACGAAACCTTTTGTCATCTAATTCTCCACCTGCCTTTGACATGGACAAGAAATTTTGCTAACCCCATTGCGCTCTTCTCTAGCTATTCAACATGAGAGTTAAGAGTCTGCTTCCCTTGGGAGCCCTTACCGCAAGGACAACCGCCCAAGACAGCAACGCCATCTTCGAACCCAAGACTTCAACGTCACTGCAGCCCTCGAAAAAATCGGTGTCGATGTTTCGGAAATCCCAGCGTCTGATCTTACACTTGGCTCGCGATTTTTAGCTGCGCAATGTTCACATGCTGCAAGTTATGTCCATACTTCGAAAGAACTGTACCGAGTTCTGACAAAAACTCAAGTGCACAGCCCTATCTATACTTTTCGGTCCCGATCAAGTTCTACCTGAAAACGCAACTGCGTACAACAACTTTACAAGCTCATACTGGTCAGTCCAACAAGGCGCACTTCGTCCCTCATGCGTATTTAAGCCCAAGTCGACGCTAGATGTGTCTACTGTAGTTCTCGTCTCAAGATTGTACCAGTGCTCCTTCGCGGTGAAAGGTGGCGGCCACGCAGCGTGGGCTGGGGCTTCTAGTATTCAAGATGGTATCACTGTTTCAATGGAGAATTTCAGGAAAGTAGAAGTAGCGTCGGATAAGCAGAGCGTGGATATTGGACCGGGGCTTCGCTGGATAGATGTGTATACTGCGATTGAAAAAGACGGGCTTAGTGTTGCAGGAGGTCGGGTGAGTTTATGCAGTCATTTCCTGCATTGTTTTCTTGCTAATGAGTAGTCAAGATGGCACCAGTCGGCGTGCCTGGTCTTCTTCTAGGAGGGGGAATTTCTCATTTCGCCAGCAAGCGCGGTTGGGCTTGCGACAATGTAGCAAGTTTCGAGCTGGTGACTGCCTCGGGCATTCCCATTGATATCAGCATATCATCCTACCCTGATTTATATTGGGCGTTGAGAGGCGGAGGCAACAACTTTGGAATTGTGACAAATTTCAAGCTAGACGCTTTCCCGCTGAGCGACATGTGGGGAGGTCAGCGCGTCTACTTGGAGAACTCTTTTCCCGCTGTTCTCGATGCGATTCACGAATTCACCGTGAGGGGATCGGTCAAGGATGAAGATGCTGCACAGATTGTTGTAAGTCTACATGGTTGTCACTAACTTAAAACATGGTGCTAATGTTACGAGACATTCGCCAGCGCCCCAGGCATCAGCAAAGTCGCCTTCGCAAACTTGCACTACGCCAAACCAATTGTCAATGCCCCAGTCTTTTCTAGCTGGGACAACATCACCGCCATCCAGGACACCACCGGTCTCCGCCCAATGTCAGGAATGGCCAATCTTCTCAACGAAGGGGCTCCCGGACCAGGCGCCTACCAAACATGGTGGGGAATCAGCCTGAGGATGGACAGACAATTACTCGATTTCATAATCGATACATTCTACACCCAAGAAGCCGCCATCGCCGACGTGGAAAAGATGCTGCTCATCATGGCCATCCAGCCCATTACCAAAAGCGCAATCAAAGCCATGCAAAAGAACGGCGGAAACGCCCTGGCCATCGATGCCTCCAACGGTCCTTACTTGATTCTAAATTTCAACGCTGCCTGGACCAAACCCAAATACGAACCAAGATTCCACGCCGTCATTGCCAATAAAATCAAGCTCATCAAAGCCGAGGCCCACAAGCGAAACCTAGACAACCACTTTGTGTACTTGAACTATGCGTCAGAGTTCCAGGATCCGATTGCAAGTTATGCCAAGGAGAATAAAGAGAGACTGATACGGATATCGAGGAAACATGATCCTAAGCACGTGTTTCAGTATTTGCAGCCTGGTGGGTTTAAATTGGTCAAGGGGGGGGGGGCGCCGGATGGGAATATGCTGAGTGTAGTGTGAATGAAGTGGGGGGGATAGGCAAAGGATAGATTCAGTGTTTGAATTAGAGGGGCCAAAATCAGGCCAGACAGCCAGGCAAAAAGAAAAAACATAGTACCAAGTGAAGATGTAAATCCATGAGTGAGGATGAGGTGGAGTCAAGACTGAGAGGAGTGATTGGGAGAAAGTAGGCATTGTTTTATTTTTCTTCCATTGGAAAGAAAAAGAGATGGCCGTGTTCGATTTATCTCGCATTCATGTCAAGTGTAAAAAGCACAAGTGTTGATAACAAGAGTAATACTTAGTCGCTTGGTACAAAGGAGTCAAAAGCATCACAAGTCTTCAAAGTCAGATACAAACAATGAACTTTAATCATGATAGATTTTCTCCATCCCACATATCCCGACCATATATCCCGATTGACCTACTAAGAAGAAAGAAAGATGGAAGAAAAAATGGCTCATAGCTAATCCATTACTTCATCATCTTTTCATCTGCCTCGCACATCGCACACCTTTATGCTGGTATTTTTGTTTTCCCCTTCCCTCCTTCCCCATCAATCCCAATCCAATCCAATATCCAAACCCAAACCAAACCAAAAAAAAAAAGAGATAAGATACGGTAAACAAGAGACCCCATCTATCGTCCTAACAGGAAGAAAACAAACAAAAAGGACAAAAAGGGGGATTCGCTAGACAATCTGTAAAACAAAGTCGTAAGAAAATCAAGAAGAAATTCAAGGGACAATTAAAAGCATGAGAAAAACTCAGCTTAGTGCTTGGGGCAGCAGCATACATGTGGACCACTCTCAATAACCTCCTTGGTAGCCTCGTCCTCGTACTTCTTAAAGTTCTCCATGAAGAGCCTGCCGAGCTTCTCCACCTCGTCCTGGAGGCTGGCGGTGCCGTTCCAGCTGTTGCGGGGGTTGAGCAGGTCGTCTGGGACGCCCGAGCACTTCTTGGGGACCTGGAGGTTGAAGACCTCGTAGTTTTCGTACTCGGCGTTGGCGAGCTCGCCGTTGTGGATGGCGTCGAGGATGGCGCGGGTGAAGCGGAGGCTGCAGCGCTTGCCGCCCGTCGTGGCACCAGCGCCGACCCAGCCGGTGTTGAGGAGCCAGGCGTTGGCGTTGTGTTGTTGGATCTTCTCGGCGAGCATCTTGGCGTAGCGCATGGGGTGAAGGGCAAGGAAGGGTTGGGCGAAGCAGGTGGAGAAGGTGGCTTGGGGCTCGGTGATGCCTTGCTCGGTACCGGCCATTTTGGAGGTGTAGCCGGAGATGAAGTGGTACATTGTTTGTTCGGGGGTCAGCTTGGAGATTGGAGGAAGGACACCACGGGCATCGCACGTAAGGAGGATAATGTTCTTGGGGTGCTGGTTGGAGATGCAGGGGATCTTGGTGTTCTCAATGTACTCGATGGGGTAGGCGCAGCGGGTGTTCTCGGTCAGGGTGTCGTCGTCGTAGTCAACAACACGGGTGACGGGGTCGAAGACAACGTTCTCGAGGATGGAGCCGAAGCGGATGGCACCGAAAATATCAGGCTCCTTCTCGGCGGAGAGACCAATGCACTTGGCGTAGCAACCACCCTCAATGTTGAAGATACCAGTGTCAGACCAGCAGTGCTCGTCGTCACCGATCAAGGCACGCTTGGGGTCGGCAGAGAGGGTCGTCTTTCCAGTTCCGGACAGACCGAAGAAAACGGTAACGTCGCCATCCTGACCCTCGTTGGCAGAGGAGTGCAGAGTGAGGACGTTGTGCTTGACGGGCATCTCGTAGTAGAGGACAGTGAAGATACCCTTCTTCATCTCTCCGGCGTACTCGGTACCGAGGATGACCATCTCCTTGTCGGCAAAGTTGAGGGCAACGGAAGTCGAAGAGGTCATACCGCTAGTATACCTGTTGGCAGGGAAGGCACCGGCATTGTAGATGGTGTAGTCGGGCTCGAAGTGCTCAAGCTCTTCCCGCGAAGGGCGGATCAACATGTTGCGCATGAAGAGAGCATGGTAGGCACGAGCGCAGACGACGCGGACGCGTATCCTGTAGCGCTCATCCCAGCCGGCGAAACCGTCGACAACGTAGATGCGGTTGCGGGTGTTGAGGTAGTCGATGGCACGCTCACGGTTGATGCGCCAGACCTGGTAGCCATGTCAGTATACAGTTGCATGATCAGGTACGAAAAAGGAGCACGTGATGTTATTCCCAAACGAGAGGGAATCGATCGGTAGAATGTGGGGCAAGCCGAGAACCCCAGACCATGCGCCATGTGCAAGGATGTGAGGGTCCTCGGGTATGCGCCTAGCGTGCATGACGTTTTGACCTTGATCTTTCACAAGCCAATGCTTGCAATTTTACGTATTCGCGTGATTTTTGGACAGAGGCAACGACCATACATGGGGTGCGGAGGAAAGGACTTACGTCAGTCTTCATTGGCTTGTTGACAGGGCCCCACCAGACATCCTTTTTTGACGAGTCTTCCTCGACGATGCGCTTATCCGAGGGTGAGCGGCCAGTCTTGGCTCCTGAGTATGCCGAGAGAGCGCCTGATGCTGTGATGGCGGAACCGGTCTCGTATACCAGGGCATCTTCGTAGAGAGCAGCGACTGAAGGGTTGGCAATCTGGATTGGGATTGCGGTTAGCATTGGAATCTTGAGTGAGTATTTTTGTGGTGAAAAAGAAAACTTACAATGGCCACACGATCATAGTCAATGTGTGCCTTGTCGTGGAGTGCCTCTTCAATCTCGGTGTGTCCTTTGCTGGGGCTAAAGAGAGAGAAAAAAACAGTCAGCCATGATGATTCTTGGTCGCAGCATGTGAAGACAAGGGCCAGACTCACAGAACACCAGAAGGGTGGAGGTTGGTCTTGTTTACGGATTGGGAAACCATGTTGAAGTTTAGGATGGGGAGAATGGGGGAGACGGGGGAGGAATGGAAATGGGAAAGCTGCTGCTTGGACACCTGATGACGGGCAAAGTCGTGTGTCGAAGTGGGATGGATTGCAGCTAGAATCAGGGGGAATGGAGTCGTTTTAATAGTTGACGAAGCTGTTCTGACGACGCTGCTGGTGCTGAGTCTGGCAGTCGAGGGCCGGGGAGGGGCTAGCGCAGCGGGCGCTGATTGGCCGAGGGGCGGTGCTTGGATGCTGGCCGGCTGGCGAGGGACGAAAATAACGCGGAGCAGGGCTGGCGAGGTGGAAATGCTCGGAAAAGGCACTCGGCAAGTGGAAGCACGCGCTCCAGCTGGATGGCTGAAGCGGCTGGGGCTGAGCAGCGGCATGGGGATGCTCGTGTGCTCTGCGCTGGTCGAGCTGGATAGGACAAACGGACGTGTACGGTCACGGTTGTGTCATGGCCATGGCAGACGACCCCGTCGCCGTACCAGCAGCCCCTCGTGACGGCGGGCAGACGGGCAGACGAGCAGAGGGCAAATGCAGCGGCGGGCATTGGTCCTGCTGCACTACCCCACATTCACCCCCGCCCCAAAGCGGAAAGGCGGCACAGCCTGTCGTCATGGCGCCCGCATTCTTTGCCATGATTACACGGCCATGTTTGGTTGGCCTCGACCAACCCGAGGAACCACGGTTCGCCATGGCGACAGCAGCCACACCTGCCTCTGCCCTCAGCCATCCGACGCTGTCCGGCACTTGTCTGAGCCAGCCGGTAGGTATTGCTAGCGATGCATCCATCACCAGCACACAGTCCTACTATCCTGCTAGCAGCAGGCGAATGCAGCAGGTATAGTATACACAGCAGCATAGAGCCGAGCAGCGTAGGACGGCACATGGCACCGCCGGCGGTAGCATCGAGTGGCGGTGTACCCTACTCCCTACTTACAGTACGCGCTTGCACATGCGAGGCGGTGCACGAGGGCCCAAACCCAAGCCCAAACCCAAACCCTCGTCTCGTTTCGTCTCGTCTCGTCTCATCTCATCTCTGTTCCGATATCAGCTCGTGTGCGGTTTGCGGGCCACGCACCAACCCCTGCACGATGATGGAAAGGCCGTTTGGCCTGCCAGCGTCGACTACCCATTGCACAAATCACCGCTCTCGGACGGATGGGGGGGCCTGGTCGCTCTCGGAAAAGCTGAGGCATTTGGAACACGTCCATCCGCCTTGCACATGCACCCATACGCGCTGCTACCCGGGCTGACTCTGGCTTTCTGGCTCGTGTCAAGCGCCAAGTAGTGGTAGGCTGCTGATAATCCCGCAAACCTCATTTTACTTTTTTTTTCTTTTCATCTTTTGGACTTTGGATGCAAAAATATAGCCCTCGGCAACACGTGGCCAGCTGGCAGACAACTGACAGCGGCCAGCGTGCATGACGTGCGCAGTAGGGATCATGGATTTTGCAGTATTGGAATGCTATTCGTGACTAACAGGTACGGCGCGTGATGGAGCGCACTGAGCCGTGGCCTGCTCTAGAAGCCCACAAAAGTGTTTTGCGGGGAAAATGCATACCCAGCCCATCAGCCCAGCCTTGCACGTTCCGGCCGCGGGTGCGCTACGACTTTTCCCGAGGTCCCACTCAGCCAACAACCACACACGACACACGACACTCAACCATTGCGCCGCTGCTACCCCTTCACCCTCACGCTGCGTCTCCCTTTTCCGTCCTCGCCCTCTCCCGCCGTGCCTCCTTCTTCTGTTTGCGTGCAGATGCGCTAAACTTGTCCTTTATCTGCCGCAGACCCCCAAGATACAGCCAAGTGCACACGAACACGACTGCAAAATTGAAGAAGATGTATGCCCACATAATCCCTGTGCCCATGTCAGCATGCATCACAATCAAGAAAGAAAAAAACACAGCTGCCACTTACCAAAGTCTCTCCAAATGTACTGCGGGAAAACATTGAATGACGCAGCAAACGCCTCTCCAGTTGCATATTGACAGAAGCCACAATCACCGTTAGGCTGCACCTCCACGTAGCCGCCCGATTGCTGCGCAAACTGCCCAGCATAGCTCTGACAATCCTGCCCAGGTGGTGGCGGGAAAATAGCCAGCTCGTTGGTGGCGCACCGGATCTCTTGCCCCTGCACTAGCAGTGCCAGGAATCCCTCCAACAGGTACTTGAACGGTGTCAGCCAGTACATCCAGCTCTGCCAGAACGTCGGCAGTCCCGCATACGGAACAACAACGCCGCAGAAAGACACAATAAAGGTGAAGAACAGCGGCACAAGCAGCGATGCCAGCAGTTCGTTTGGAGAAAACGACGCAATGGCTTGTCCGAAACCGAGGTAAAATACCTCAAACAGCATGACAAACAGCCACACGCTCGCCGCCGTGTACGTATCCCGCGGGAATCCAGGCGGAAAGTACCAGCAGCACCAGTAAATCGTTCCCGAGACAATACGATACGGCAGCTCGCTGAGTATTGTGCCCCACACCATGGCCGTCCAAGAGTAAATCTTAGCACTACCCTCTCGCGCACTGTAGATGCCCCGAATGTTGATGAACCGAGGTTGCAACTGCTGAATCAGCGGCGGCGCTATCGTCAGCGTCATGAACACCGAAAACAGCCGCGACTGCATGTCGATTTGGCTCTGACCCAGGTCCCAAAACGTGAAACCGTTGAAGAGACCGGTGATGATGTGTAGCATCACCATTCCTTGCACGTAGGGCGGATCTCGCCAGATGGCCACAAAGTTGCGCTTGACAACGCTAAGCCATTGCTGAGTATACGGCATTGCGTATTCTCGATCGTCGCGTGCTTCTTCGTTCTTCGAGGCATTCCGCCTGCTGGCAGTGATGTCTTGGATTTCCTTTGTCAAGCTTTCATTCTCGCGGGACCGCTCCCACACATCGCCCCAGTCTTGGCCTTTGTAGTCGGGGTTACCCGCGCCAATGGCTTCGAGCATGTACTCGGCTGGATTGGTATTAGGTGGACACTTGTCTGCGCCGTTGCCTTCGAGGTACTTGATGAGCTTCTGCGAGTCGTGACCCAGCTCACCAAAGTATACTGTGCGACCGCCAGATTTGAGAAGTAGAAGCTGATCAAAGTGCTCAAAGAGCACAGCGCTGGGCTGGTGAATCGTGCACAGAATGGCTTGTCCCGCATCGGCAAGCTTGCGCAAGAACCGGACAATGTTGAACGCAGCGCCAGAGTCAAGACCAGACGTGGGTTCATCGAGAAACATGAGCAACTCAGGCTTGCTGGCAAGCTCCACACCAATCGTCAACCGTTTCCTCTGCTCTTGATTCAAGCCCGATCCAGTAACGCCAATAGCCGCACCAGCAATGTCGCGCATCTCGAGCAGATCAATAATCTTCTCCACATACTCGTACTTCTCCTCAATCGGCACCTCCTTTGGTTGCCGTAGCTTCGCAGAGAAGCGCAGTGCCTCGCGTACTGTTGCCGTCGATTCGTGCACATCCATCTGCTCTGCAAAGCCAGTCGAACGCTGGAAAGAGGCAGGAAGCGGCTTACCGTCCACCAGGAAATCTCCGCGTACAACGCCAAAGTTGATCCGTTGAGCAAGCGTGTTCAGCAAAGTCGTTTTTCCCGCGCCAGAGGCTCCCATCAGCGCTGTAAGCTTGCCGGGCTTGACATAGCCCTGCACTCCCTTTAACAATGTCCGCTCACCCTTCTCGTACGGAATCGTGTAAGTGATGTCCTGGAATGTGAAGATTGTTTCATTCTTTGCGACACCTCCGGCAGTTGCATCAGACTCGCCATTACCGTCTGCAGAGTGCTTCTCCGTGACCGGCTCGCCATTTCCAGCTTCTTCATCCTTGGGCAGTGTCTTGGTCTCCATCTCTTTTTCAATCGTCTTTGGAACCTGGCCACGCTTGTAAATGGTGACTGCACCACCCCCTTTGTTGGGCTTCTGCATCTCCATACCCAGAGCAGTGAGTGCCACAAAGAAAATGAAGAATGCGCAGATGAATCCAAAGTTGCGCCACAGATGAGTCCGCGAGTATCCAAACGCCGCCTCAATGTAATCCGAGCCAGCCACGGTAAGAGATCCGGGTCTGTTACCCTGGATAGCGCAGGCTTGATACTGCTCCTCAGCCCCCGGAACCTGCGGCGCGATAAACGGCGGCACGCACTGAATATCCAAGTTGTAAAACTCGTTCGCCAGCAGCCCTTCAAACCCATACTGAATAGGATTTATCCACCGCAGCCACGAAAACCACGGATGCATCTTCGCAGGCGGTATCAGATATCCCGTATACACAACCAGTGCCTGGATAGCAACACCAGTAATCCGAGTCGCGACATCCAAGGACCCCACCAACGCGCCGATAGCACGGAAAAACGCATACATCGTCATGGTAATGATCCACAGGAAAAGCAGCGAGATAAAAAACTGAGACGCCGTCCGCGAAAGATTCGCCATGAAGTACACAACAATGTCGAAAATCACCACTTGGATAAGGACGAGCGGCACGTCGATGACCGTCTGCGCAATCGCATACGCCGCCGGGCGATAAAACGAGAAACTCTTGTGCTTCAGCAGAATCGGGCGTGATTCAAACGCAGCTGTGAGTTCAGCCAAGGCGAGCAGCGCGTTGAACAGCAGCATGAAGAAAATGACACCACCGCGTGGAAACACTCCCTCGGCCGTGTTAGGCAGGTTATAAAACAGCGACCCAACAATCAGCGCTTGAAACAGGATTCCACCCCATTTACCCACAAGAGACTGCGGATCCCCAATCATGACGAGGAACTGGCGCTTCGTGCACGCCATGACCTGCGCAGGGAAGGAAATGGTAAAGTTCTTCTTCTTTGTTGCTTTCGTCATTGCATTTGCTCTTTCTTCCGCCTGGCGCTGCGTTTCTTTTTCGAATTCCTGGATCTCAGCGAGATTGTTGGCCGCCTGCTCGCTGGCGGCGAAGGCTTCGCCAAAGGCCGCGCCCGTACGCGGGATGCGGTCTTCCCAGCCCTGCTTGACCTGGCGCTCGTGGTCGTCGGTGACGGAGGTGAGGAAATCGCTCGTGGTCCAGCGCTCTGGCTTTTCAAACCCCAGGTTTTTAAAGTAGGATTCTGCTTTTTCCGTGGGGCCAAAGTAGCAGCATCGCCCTTCGTGGATGAGGAGGACTTTGTCGAAAAGTTGGTAGAGCGACTCGCCTGCCTGGTAGAGGGCGACGGCGGTGGAGACTTGGGCCATGTTGGTTAGAGAACGCAGACTCTGGACGTATTCGAGGGCGGTGCTGGCGTCGAGGCCGCGGGTGCTGTTGTCCCAGCATTGGACCGACGCTTTTGTCACCATGGCTTCGGCGATGGAGACGCGTTTTTTCTCGCCGCCGGATACGCCGCGTATGAGCTACAGCAACAAGCATATAGGGTCAGTGGACATCCCATAGGCTTTCATAGCAAATGGAATACGTACCTCATTCCCCACCTTCGTCCCAAGCGTATGCTCAATCCAAAACAGCTTCGTCACCACCCTCAAAAACTCATTCACATAATCCTTCCTACTCTCCCCTTCCTTGCGTGACTCCTTGCCCGGCGTCCGAGTCTTCAACGCAAACTTGAGCGTATCCTTGACCTTCAGCGTCGCATAGTGGAGATCGTCTTCGGGGTTATACAGCACCTCGCTGCGATACTTTTTACTCATCTCGTCCGCATCCGTGCCGCCGTACGTTACATCGCCCGTGATGTCTTCGAAGCCGTAGCGTTGGTTGCCGATGATCTTGAGGAAGGTGGAGCAACCGGCGCCGGGGCGTCTGTATCCACTGTTAGCGTGTGTGTGTTGGTGTTATGGTAAGAGGAGGGAGAAACGGTACCCGAGAACAAGAATCATCTCGCCAGGTCGTATGCAGCCGGAGAAGTCGTCGAGGAGGGTTCGTACGGGCGGCTTTCCTGCGGCTTTCCTTGGGCCTTTGGTGAAAAGGTTCTTGACGAAGCGGACGGGGTCGAGGAAGAGGGAGCCGACGCTTGGTTGGAGTGCAGCGCCGATGCCCATACCCTTTACTGTCAAGTGCTTGAAGATGACGCCCTGGTGTCTAGTCTTCTCCTCTTCTGACGCTTCTTGTCTTGTGCGCCCAAACATCTTCGACATTAGTTTGTTGATTTCGTCTTCTTCTTCGGCGCTGTGGCCAGTGTTGGATTTGCTGAGACCGTTACTTTGACTTGTTTTCCGTCGAGAGAGTACGCGGAAAAGGTCATCTTCGGTCATTGGTTTGGAGTTTCTGGATTGCAAGCCAGGGCGTTTGTCTTCTCGCGTACGCTTTTCGGATGAACCTTCATGTTCAGAGTCGGATGAGTCGTCTTCAAGTACAACTTGCTGTTCCATGGGCGTTCCCGACGCCGCTGTCTGCAGGTAACCCTTGTTTGGACTATGATTCTGTGATTCTGTGTTTCCATTGAGCCCTTCTTGACTTGCATGCGTGTGGACTGCATTCTGTGACGTCGGACCAGGCGATGGCACTGCAGTTGAGTCGCTCGATTCTGATGATGATTCCGGGTTGTCCTTCCCATAGAAGCTCTGACTGGTGGTGTGCAAGGCACTGGAAATGAATGTATTCTCAGTATTCCTTGTGTCTGTAACGCCCGGTGTGGCTGAGCCGCCATCGGTTTGTTGTCGTGACCCGATGTATGATTCATGTCGAATAGTACCTGCGGGTGTCTCTACCCAACCGCCAGGGATATGTGATGGAGTTGGGAGGCCATCGTTCGAAGCCATTACGACGGCTCTCGTAGCCCAGGGATGGACAACGAATTAAACGTTCGTAGCGTAAGTACCGCAGAAATGGATCCCCCCAACACAATAGTCAAGTGTCAAACGTCAACCTTGATGGCTAACATAGAATTTGAAAAAAAAAACAATCCGCAAAAACTGGCCGAATTCAGGGGGAGTCAGAAGAGAAGGTATAAGAACCACATGGAGCAGACATCAATTACAGCGCCAAGTTGCTTGTCCAATTCCGTGTTGGCACTCGTATTCTGGCGACGCGTTGGTTCGCGCAATAGTCGAGAGCGAAAGTGGTGATGTCATGTTAACGTGTGAGTGGTAGAGGCGCTTCAGCGTCGCATTCGCGTCGGCGCTTGCCAGTTGCCGAAGCTATGGGATCGAAAGATCATCGAAATCACCAGGCTGAAGAGAGATCGATTTCTGGGCCGCTTGTGAAAACACTAGGTGTCCGCGGGGTGCGGATTTGCATTCAACGCGTTTGCAGAGATTGATTGACCCCTACGTGCTCTACCTCTTCAACGCGTTTGGTACAGCGTATTCCATGTATCTGTATCTTTCGTTTGTGATTAAACCTAATCATAGCATTGTCAAAATTTGATGTGGAGACGAATCAAAGGGGATGATGAAAGAAAAGTAGAATCATCTCCTAACATGACGTGAGGTGGGAACTTTCCAATTGCGTCATAGTTCAGCAAGCCAACGCTAAGAAGTGCTTGACATCTTGGCCTCGCACCCGCCTAGGCCCTAGGCCCGTCTAGAAGTACCTTACTAAATCTCCACGCTGCGGCTCAGTAATATCGATGAGCGATGTAAATTTTAGCGCTTGGTATGGGGAATCCATGCCCTGGGTCTGGACCACACAGCAGGACATCGCGTTCTATTCCCAAGGGCCTTTCCGCCCTTTTTGAGTTGAAAAGTGTGTACATGCTATCTTTATGTGAAGTAGAAAAAAAATCAAACACTCAATTAATAGTAAGATCGCTTAATGGATATGTATCTGGACAATCTTCTCTTCACAGTCGTTCGGAACGCCTTCCCCGTCCATAAGGCCATGTACATATGCATCACCGACGAGTCTGTAGTTGCCATTAGGCGCATCTTGCATGGCACGAATACAAAATGGCACTGTGCTTCCCAGCAAGATAACAATGCTATCACCGGGCTGCATCTCAGGCGGGCCCATTCCCATGCAGCCATTGCTGGCGATAAAAAAGCGCCGGTCAAGTATTGCGCCTAGTAGAGAGTGGTAAAACGCCTTGATCTCATTCATACTGCTAGTATGCTCTTCGCTTTTCTTCAAGTCGCCTTTTGCCTGGGATTGAGCCCAGTCCCAGAAGCCCTCTGCGATACGGTTGACATCGGTGTCGCCACATCGCCGGTATGCAGTGAATACCTCACCACTAAAGTCGAGTTGGGCGGAAAGGATATCGACTGAATTCATGCGTTGTGGTTGCCATGAATCGTGAATGATTGTACGCCAAAATGCCTCGTTTTGAGGGTTCTTTAGGCCGAGGGTGTGGTCTGTTGGATTTTCGAGTTGGGCCATGTGGCGCCACGATGCGATGCAATCGATTAATTCGCGCCAATTATGGTTTCCTGGCAAAGTTGAACCCACTTGCGAAACGGTGAGAGATGGTTCGAAGGCGTCTGTAATCAAGACATTACTCGCTCGTCTGACGCTGGCTGGGCGACCGCCCGCTGCAGAAAATAGCACCGCGCGGTTAATTCTATACCCAGTTGCTGAGCTAGAACTCTGCGAGGTACGGCCCCTTTGTGTGACCCACGACGGTACATGGGGTATTCCAGTTCGAGTCGTGCCCATCAATATATGCAATGAAAGAGTGCTCTGGATGTGCTTGGTAACTACGCGCATGAAGACTTCGCACGGAGACAAATCGTAGTCGGGAATCAAAGGCGACTGACCAAGCCAGTCAGTGACCAATCCCAGTACCCCAAACACTTCGTCCCGGACATCTGTTGCGTTGCGCGAGTATGTCCGACTCATGACCTGGTACAGGCTTAATTTTTTCTTTTGTGCTCTTGCAGCCCTCAGCCACTCCAGATCGTCGTACCTGGCCTTTCTCAACTCGACAATGGCGCGCAGTTCGCGCCCCCCTCGTGCTTGGTGCAGATCACCGCAACAATGAATGTGGCGTGCAGCAGCGCGGGTAGATTCTCCAACCAGAGTCCAGGGTACAGTAATCTTGCCGTATAAGACGGTTGCTTTCCGAGCGAGTATTGTTTCTTGGACGACCCAAATCCGCGTCCACCAAGGATGGCTGCTCAGCGTGTGCATAGCCTGGATGATGGCTAACCATGATTGTCCAGCTTGAAGTTTACCTCCTTTAACATCAAAAAAAGGTATTTCATGAACGTGTTTGTTCATGGCTCGAAGTTTCATGTAAACGAAGAGGCCGACTACGTCTTCAGTTTCGTTGCCCTCTTCATTTGGACTGTTCTGCAATGTTCCTTGCTTGAAATACGAGTCGACAATTTCCAAATCTTCGTCTTCACCAGTCCATCTGACAATATCTGGCTGCTCCGAGGGAGAGTGCAAGTTGCGGCCGTAACCTAGCCATATGAAAACTTCGTCGGCGGAACTGTATATTTCCCTCATGCACTGCACTTGCTCGGATCGTTCGTGAATATCTGACTGATTGATGCACACTGCATCGAGCCAGAGTGCCAGTGTCTCTCCTGTAGCGCGGAGTCTTTGAAGGCCAGTGACTACATTCTGAGTTACCGCCAGATTTTTCCCGTCGACCGTGATGGATAATTTATTTGTCGTATCGCCCCATACGTATGAGATGGCTTGAAACTTGGGGTAATCTTTCAAGGATACAGTTTCCATATGACATTCGATGCCATCATTCCAATTACCAGGGTGGATATGCAGTAAGCGTATCTCTTTTCGGGAGGTGTTGAGTGGTGAATACATGCGTAGAGAGTGAAGTGTATGTGTGTGTGTTATGCGACTGCAACCATGGCCGTCCTTGGCACTTTTGAACGAGGATAATCGACACTCGCTTACGGGATTGATGACAAAACATGTTTCATCCTCTGACCCTTTAATGATACAGTTCTATATTGGACTTTTAACGGGTTTTCTGACATGTTGAAATTCCGTAAGAATTCTAGGGACCCACTAAAGGTAGAGAGTAGGCTGCAATCAGAACTTCGTCTTGCAGCTTACTTTAACACTGGTTTATCCGCTTCAAATTCGTCTTTCAAGAAGTATTCTTCAGTCTGCACCCATGTATGACGAGGTCTAGTCTAATCACTTCATTGTGCCTTAGCGTTACCTTGTCGTTGACCTTCCTCTTGGAAATGCATTGTTTTTGGGTATGCATTTTGCAGGTTGCACGTATCTGGACAAAGCCTGATTCTACACACTGTCCAGGCTATATATGTCCGTACACGAATCATATCTAAAGGACGATTAAGTTACGTTTTACCTGTCGATTTCATGACTGGAATAGCAATACGTAGTATGGCAAGCAGTGCCTAATTATGAACGTTCTTTCACGTGTCATGATGATCTATTCGCTTTTGGTATTGTAACCTGGCAAAAGAAACGTCAGCACATCGTGTTCTTCGTATTGGGATCTATGGCGGTCCTCAGACGCCGAGAGGAGTGTTGCACAACAAGGAAGAGGAGTCATGAGACAATGGCAATAGCGGATAAGCTTTTCCTAAAAATCGCTTCGTTCGCGATTCAACAAAGAAGGGCAGGTGTAGGGTTTGGGTGCAGCCTCCACGCAGATGCAAGACCGCCAAGCTACGATCGGCGCTAGGTCATCCCCTGTCGTATTGCCTGCATTAGCGCGCGTGGAGTTAGGGGACTCGGCGCGGAAATATGCGGCTGTACGCAGTCCAGATGCTTTCAACCAGCGCCAGTTCTAGGTTCTGGAAACCTACTTTCCTTTTGTCGTCCTTTCGCATACTACTATAACCCGCGCTCACCACTCATGTGCTGTACTGGCCTGCATATTTCAGGAACGACCACGCACTTTGGAAGACACGATGGTGGTGAGAACTGCATCCGGAACGCTGGGCGGGGTGTCGATGAAGCACCTTTCTCTGGTCACGGTAACTAGACATGCGGCTTGATTGTACATGCCCAAGGTAAGCTAACGGCTGCGCAGTTGACAGTCCAGAACTCGGCCCTCATTCTGGTATGAACATCCGACAATCCGAACAACAAACTTAGCCTGACTGAAAAGAGGCATGGAAATTGGGGTCGACTGGAAGCATGACCATGCCACGGCTAACGCGAATCAGATCATGCATTACTCGAGAATCATGCCTTTGGCTGGAGGGCAAAGATACCACACAAGTACAAGTGTCTTCTTGAATGAAGTGATCAAGCTGACTATTAGTTTGACTATGGTACGAATGCGTCTGGAGAAACTAGGTGTTGGGCCATATGCTGACAATTCAATAGGCAATGTACGAGATGTCAAAATCACTTCCATCGAACACTACGATCGCAACGCTCTCGCGCACCTTGACGACCGCTATATTCACCAATGAAAGTTGGAAGCTTGCAGTACCCGCCGTCATATACACCATACAGAATAATCTTCAATACTTGGCTGTCAGCAACTTGGATGCAGCAACATTCCAGGTCACCTACCAGCTCAAGATTCTGACAACAGCCATATTCAGTGTCCTGTTGTTAGGAAGAACGCTTTCGGCACGAAAGTGGCTCTCTCTGCTGCTGCTCATTGTCGGCGTCTCCATTATCCAAGTACCCCAAGCATTATCGCAACCAGATGTACCGGCAACAGGATCCACACCCTGGACAAAGACTCTTGAACAGCTTCACAGTCTTGGCCATAACGTTGCAGCACGAATGGCGAAGCGATCTGGATCTTACGAGGGAATTCATGAAGATCGCGCGTCGCAAGTACCGCATATGAATAGACGAGTGGGGCTCTTTGCCGTTCTTATCTCATGCGCACTATCAGGCCTAGCAGGAGTATTGTTTGAAAAGATTCTGAAGGACTCAACGAGTGGCAAAACTACAACATTATGGGTGCGCAACTGCCAGCTTTCCTTCTGGTCGTTATTTCCGTCACTGTTCTTAGGCGTGATTTGGAAGGATGGAGAGGTCATAGCGAAGACTGGATTCTTCGTTGGCTACAACTGGGTGGTGTGGACTGCCATCGGGTTCCAGGCAGCTGGTGGTGTAATTGTCGCATTGGTCATAAACTATGCCGACAACATTGCCAAGAATTTTGCAACCTCCATCTCCATCCTTCTCAGCTGCATTGCTAGCGTATACTTTTTCGACTTCAAGGTGACGCAATCAGTAAGTACGCGGCGAAATGCTGGTTTGTCGATACTGATGAATTGCAGTTTTTCCTGGGAACATGCATCGTCTTGTTTGCGACTTATCTTTACACAAAACCAGAGCGGGGGATGCAGCAATCGGCAGTGAAGATTGCCGATTTTCAGAAAACTACGGTCGAGCGGCCTTACGAAGAACGCGGGTACGACAATGTACCACCAAGTCCGTCAAGCTGTGACAGGTCTCACAAGCCATCACCTGGATCGCCGACGATAGAACGACACTCCCACAAACGAGAAGCTTGAAGACTAAGCACCGTACATTTTATAGATTTCCATGAGACAGAACAACAAGACTCTTTAAAACACAAAGATGGGCTTGTTAACGATGTCTAGTGACGTCAATTGGCGAGATAACGTGTACAGACAGCTGCTTGTTTGGCACGGCCTTATTCTTTACTAACGCTTGGCCAAATGCGATACGACCAAGCTATGCAATAACAAGGAAGCAGCATTGTGAGAGCATGGTTTCATCAAAGTAGTAGAGTATACAACAAACGACTTTGGTCGGCTCACGAGGGTCAAGATGTTCTATGAATGCTATCCAATTCCGGTAGTCGCCGCTTCCTCCATGGTGCCTTCCACTTCCGCAACCACTTTTCTCACCTGACACGCTATACCAAGAACTTCCCGCAATTTCAAAGCATAACTTCACTTTTGTTGCCTCGTTCCAAACGGATCTATCACTGATTTCTGCATTCAGAATGGGCGAGCGCTTCTATCACCAAGAGCAACCAGGTAGCTCGCGACGTGTGTCGCGTTATAACATCCTTCAACCTCAAATCAAGCAACCGGCCCGCCTAACTACTCCTCGAGATCGCTATCGTGTGACCCGATATGATGATCCCATGTACGACACCGTTGAAGACGACTATGCCAACGGCGTAGGATCTCAGCTCGATTCTTTTGGTACGCACATGACCATGTCTGTCTAAAGCCAGAAGACTAACAGTTTTAGATGAGAGGTTGCTTCAGCAGTCGTATTCAGACCGACAGCCGCAGGCCACGCATGACAATGAGAGATTGTCGTTTGCGCCCGCCCTATCACAACCCTCGTATGGTGTCCGTGGCAACTATGCACATCAAAATCAAGGTAAGCATACACTACCTACACACAATATAGAGTTATTGACTTGCCAGATGAACACCGACCCCATATTGAGCAAGACATGGGAAGCCAATTAAGTGAGTACTACAGATAAAGTCCGGTAACTAATGGCTGTGCTAACTACCTTCGAGGTTGGTTTGCCTACAATTCTGCGCAATTCCAAGATTCGAGTCACGACCCCCAAATTGACCAGTCCTCCAGCCCAGCATTCAAAGCAAGTCAGCGCCGCTTAAAGCACGCCAGCGCATCTACTGCGAAATACGGTTCAGGGACCCAGACGTCCAGGGATACCCGACGGCACACCATAGAGCTTAAAGCACACGGATATCAGCGACATCATGGGCAAATCATGTCTGCCAAATTTCGAGAACGTGTCCCTGGGAAACTGCCGTCCCTGGATCCAGGAAATGAACAAGAATCTCCTTGCCATTGGGGGAAAAGCCCTGGGGAATTACAAGAATCTCTCGTGACCGCACTGCATGCCCCTCCTATGTGCCAGGGCATCCGTCTTGTCCCGGTCGCGACCTTGCCAGATCGGCTTCGGACAATATTCCCTTACCCGACGTTCAATGCGGTGCAGTCGAAGTGTTTCGATACGGTCTTTCGTTCTGATAACAATTTTGTTCTCGCATCTCCAACAGGAAGTGGCAAAACAGTGATTCTCGAGCTTGCCATATGCCGAGCATTTGCTACCAATTCAACTGGTCAATACAAGATTGTCTACCAGGCCCCTACCAAGGCTTTGTGTTCAGAGCGACAACGTGACTGGGAAACAAAGTTCAACAAGATTGGTCTCAAGTGTGCCGAGCTCACTGGTGATAGCGATATATCGGACCTGCGACATGTACAATCCGCGAACATAATCATTACGACGCCTGAGAAATGGGATAGCATGACTAGGAAGTGGAGAGATCACGAGAAGCTGATGAGACTCATCAGAGTTTTTCTCATTGATGAGGTTCACATACTCAAAGAAGACCGTGGCGCTACCCTTGAGGCAGTCGTATCTCGCATGAAGTCTATTGGCACAAATGTTCGCTTTGTGGCACTTTCAGCCACAGTACCCAACTTCGATGATATCGCAACTTGGCTTGGCAAAAGCCCAACAGACCCAAATACTCCGGCCACGAACGAGAGTTTTGGCGAAGAATTCCGACCAGTGAAACTGCGGAAGCATGTTTGCGGCTACATGTCCAACGCCAATAATGAATTTGGATTTGAGAAGGTGCTTGATAACAAGATAAACGATGTCATAGCTACTTACTCTGAAGGTAAACCGATAATGGTGTTTTGCGCTACCAGGAACTCCACGCTTAACACGGCGAAGCTGATCGCCAGCTGGTGGTCTTCAAGGATGGACAACGATCGCTTCTGGACAGCACCATCAAAATCAATCCGGCTTTTGAATAAAGACCTTAGGGACACAATCGCTTCAGGTGTCGCGTTCCATCATGCTGGTCTTGACATAGAAGATCGGGTACAAGTTGAGAAAAGCTTCATCGCTGGCGAAATCAGCGTCATTTGTTGTACCTCTACACTCGCTGTCGGTGTCAACCTGCCCTGCCATCTTGTGGTCATCAAGAACACGATGGCGTGGGGGCCAGCAGGACACCAGGAATACTCCGATTTAGAGATGATGCAGATGCTTGGTCGCGCGGGCCGCCCTCAGTTTGACGACACTGCTGTAGCCGTTATTATGACGCGCCAAATAAAGGCCCGACGATACGAACAGATGGTTACTGGTCAAGAAATTATAGAAAGCAAACTCCACCTTAACTTGATCGATCACATGAATGCTGAAATAGGCCTTGGGACGATCTACGATTTGCCGTCAGCAAGAAGATGGCTCAAAGGTACCTTTCTCTTCGTTCGACTCCAGCAGAACCCCACGCATTACAAACTTGAGGGGTCTAGAAACGGTCAGAGTATTGAAGAGCAAGTGGACGATATCTGCTTTCGCGACGTCAACCTCCTGCAACAGAGCAATCTAGTCTCTAGCGAAGAGCGCTTCACATGCACCGAGTTTGGACATGCTATGTCGCGGTACTACGTTCATTTTGAGACAATGAAGTTGTTCATGGGATTCGAGGCAAAGTCTTCTCCCTCGGAGATTGTAAGTCACTCATAGCCTCGATCCGTCTTATGTGGCTAACTAAGGAAAACTCAGCTTTCGGCTATTGCACAAGCTAAGGAATACTCCAACATACGTTTCCGGCAAGGCGAAAAGACCTTCTACAAAGTATTGAACAAGTCACCTTCAATCCGTTGGACAATCCCTGTCAACTTGGATCTCCCAGCACAGAAGATTTCGCTCATGATTCAGTCTGTCCTGGGGTCTGCTGATATCTCATGGGATGGCGACATGGCCAAACACAGGTCACAGTACGCAACAGAAACAATGATGGTGTTCAGGAACTTAGGCAGCCTCATTCGATGTATAGTTGACTGCCAAATTGTGCTAGGCGACGCTGTCAGTATTCACAGTGCTCTAATGCTCGAGCGAAGTTTCGGCGCAAAGGCTTGGGACGATAGCCCGCTTCAAATGAAGCAGATTGAGACTCTAGGCGTGGTTGCGGTAAGAAAGCTTGTCAATGCGGGTATCAAATCCATCGAAGATCTCGAGGGTTGTGACCCACATAGGATCGAAGCTGTGGTTGGAAGAAACCCACCTTATGGCCTGCAGATTCTTGAGAAGATCAAGTGTTTTCCAAAGCTTCGTGTTTCACTTCAAGAACAGCACTCTACGGTAAGAAAAGTCCTTGTATCTGTTAATGGACTCGCTAATGATTGCAAAGATCGTAAAAATTTTGGAAGGAGTCAAAATGCAGATCAAGGTAGATATTGGCTTCATGAATGAGCGGCCACCACTGCGCTTCAACAATAAGCTCATCTATGTTTGCCTTTTGGTGGAAACATCCGATGGACGTAAGATTCACTTTGCCCGCATTAGGTGTGTATGAAGCTTCGCTCAGCCTATATGATACTTATCTTGTTCTAGTGGTTCTAAACTTGGTACTGGCCAAAGCCTTTCCGTCCCGGTTCTCTTAACCAGCTCTGACCAATCCATAAACTGTCATGTCATGTGTGATGGTATAGGTGTGTATAAGTTCGTTTTCACAGTAACATCATCTGACCTTTTGAAGCTGGCAGTATGCGCACCGCCACTATGAGACCTCAAATATCTCCATCCATGTATCCAATCCCGAAACCTTCTGGACTCGATTCATCGGCCCCACATCAGTCCAATATGTCGAAACGACGCACGGAGGATGCAAAAGAAAGCTGGAAAGCTTCTACTACCCGTGATGATTTTGGCGACGATGAACTCGATGATGATACACTTGTGAAAGCTGCTTGTGGAGACCTCGAATTCGACGATATAGACGCATATCCCGATCCGCTCGCAGAGAAAGTTGAGCGCAACACCCCCAAGGCTAATTCCAACAACAACAGAGATGTTGGAAAGATTCCAAGCCTTAAAGGGCTACCCGAAGCTGTCGCTAAGGGCACTGCTCAGGATCCAGTGCAGCTTGCAAATGGTAAATGGGCATGTAACCACCCCTGCAAAGACCGCGAAGCGTGCAAGCACTTGTGTTGTAAGAATGGAATGGACAAACCACCAAAGAAGAAGCCTGTGGCCAAACTCCCTCAGCTAGGTGAACCCCGAATGGAGTCGCAACAGAAGCTCCCGACTCCAAAAATCAAAACAACTCAAACTCTACTCCAACTGGCAGCACCTAAAAGAAAAGCTTCGATTGAAATTGAAGAGTTGGATCTAACTCAGCAAGAAAAGAGGAACAAAGTGGACCGAGCTCTGGATGACTTGGAAGCGAAAGGTGAGATTCAAAAAGGTATGAAAGGAAGCAATCTGTCTTCTGCAAGTCATTCAATCTTGCATATGAAGCCTGCATACTGCTATCACCAGGGTGATTCAGGCAAAGCTTCTTCCTCTGAACCTTTGATCATAGAACCACTCCTCGATTCAAGCGACTACGGCAACATCCAGTTTGACGATCCTATTGATTTTCTTGATCCTCCGCAACAAGACAGTGTGTTATCCGACTGCAATACCCAAACAGAGTACAATGACTTTGCAGATTGTGAGGCGATCACCTTAGGTATCTCTCCAGAGTCGGAAACATTTGATGATGATGACTCACTACTCGGAGACGTGCTGGTTGGCCTGGCTGACTCGCATAGCCTACAAGGTAACAACGAAGGCGAGTTCGACTCCAAGAAAGCTGTGGAAGGTTTTCTCGACTGTGCAAACAAAGAAAGCTCGGAAAAGGTGCGGCATTTGAAAGACGATGGAATCGCAGATGTCAACGAGATCACGAACAATGTTTTGCCGAGGATTGCTTATACTGGAGGCCACTGTCAACCTCATGAGTCGCCAGCGGAAAGACAACGCTCTCAGTCAGACAGACTCATAAATAGTTCGAGAATCAACGGCGTATTTCCGGATGCGATGGCGAACATTATGGACGACAGTAAGACCAAGAAGCCTGATGCCCGAAAGAACAATCTTACCCTCGCCCAATTGAAAAAGTACCAGCAGCCATCAACTACTAAAGAACTCCCAGAACACTTGGCAAAAGCTGTTGGCGAGACCGCCTGCTCACTATTACCAGAGGAGAAAATAGTTCCCGACGCCTACAAAGACCTAGAGCCATGGCTCCTTGAAGAATTCGGCGATATAGTCGAACTCGTCGATTAATGAATGTTAAGCCCAGTTCCGATGCTTGATTCACTAGAAGAGATAAATATAGGCATGTCATTGTATGGAGGTATCTTTGTTCAAGGTCCTAGATCAATCGGTGTTTGTTGCTCGATCATTAGGACCTCGATTAGCGCTGCCATCCATCCTGCACAAAGACATTGTTGGAATTTTTTGGCGGCTCTCTCATGAAAGGACATCTTTCTTTGAATTGAGATTACCTTTCATCACTGTTCACTATATACTACGCATGCTGAACACAGAAAGCATCTCTATTTAGAACACAGTGATTTTCAAGTTGAACACTAAGATAACATTCGATCACTAACCCTAAAATGAGCAACCCGCAGCTGACAACCATTATCGAAGAGACATCGAGTGCGGGTACGACAACAACCCAGGACCCTAGCTCTACGCCGCCTGGCTCTGTGCAACAGGTGATTGTTCCTGGCGACACGGACGATTGGCATTGCTCTGATTTCTTACACTGTCTTGGAGAGGGAGATCCAGAAGGGATCATTCAGTGCGATGCCGCTACTGAGCAAGTCTGCCCAGGGTTGGGGGCCGCGAATTTAAATACGCCAAATTCTTACGTCAATAACGGTGTTCACGCCGGTGAAAATCGAACTCGAACTTGCGGTAATTGCAGGTTGCATGAAGGGCATCCCGCTTTTCCAGACAAGCGTGCACTCATTAATAGCTATTCCAATGTTGATCTTGGAAGTGGCATGCGCAGCCAGCTTTGTCGCAGTTGCATCTATGACGAAGTAGAACTATACTGGTTACGTCAAGGCACCCTTAACCCCATGAATGCTAGATCGAGTCCGCATATACGACAATGGCCTGCACCGAACGGCTATCAAAATCTTTGCATGTGCGAAGGATGGACAGTTGATACTCCTGCAATCGACTGTTGCCATGCCTGTCGCGACATACTCTTCTTTGAATTTTGTTTCAACCCCTTCCATATGACCGAAGACGTCCTCCACAGTTGCGTCCAGCCCGTCATAAAAGGAACCCGGCTTTATGTCAACCGGGACCATGGACGCTCCATGCGCGTCTCCGCCGCCACCGTCCTCAAACGCCGCCAACAGGGTATCGGCCGCATGTGTCCTTGTGGTAATAAACCAAAAAAGCCAAGTGTACAGGAGTACATCACCTATTGTATGGCTTGCTCGGGAGTTCGAATTGTTCCTAATTTTTTGCCACGGGACTTGCGACAAGGACCTGTTATGGCTAGGTATGAGAGGCGTCAGAGTCTGAGAAATAGCGGGTTTAAAAGGACAAAGGGGCCTGCGGCGGCACGAAGACACCCTACGTATAGGGTTAATATCGAGCGTGCGTGGATGACACCTGATCCAGAGATTGGGGGGACATGAGTGTAGCAATCTGAGTTATCGACATGATCAATTGGGTTATGTTATGCGAGGTTTGTCCGATTAAGACGAGGGGAACTGGATGATCTTTCTTCTGGGCAGTTGCTGTTGTTTGGAGGATTTAGAGTTAGTTGTGTACGATAGTTTATGAGCAAAGGTAATGCACACTCTTTGAATGCGAGAACCCTTTTTAAATCCTAAAATAGAAAGCAATGACACTAGTGAGAGCTGTACGTGTACTTGATGTGCGTCCCCGCACAGTACTAGTGGTCCCGCTCTTTGGAAACCAAACCCAACTTCGCACTTCTGATAGGGCATCCCTTCAGCTTATGACCCCAAGATTAACCACTTGAGTGATTCTAATCGTTCCACCTTTGAATTCGTTTGTGCTAAAGGCCCCTCTTTTCTTCGCCACAAACACAACGTGGACGGTAGTCTGCAGCCTACGAACCAATGTGGGTGCGCCACGTTAACATGGGTAGGCTTGGCGCTTAGGACGAACACTTTGATCGTTCTCCTTGTAATAGCCAATAAATGCTTGTTGCATGTTCGGATAAACAAAGTCAACAAAAAGAGTAGCTTCTCGAGCTGTCGTGTGACTACACACGCGAAAAGTTGAGCTTTTGCGCGTGAAGAGCACCCAGTCATCAAGTCTTCACAACACCAACCCAGGACCACCGGATAGTAGTAGTAGTAGTAGTAGACTACAAAATGGCCCAAGCCTATCCCATCATCTTCGACAACATCGACTCGGAAACATCAACCGTCTGCACTTCCCCAACCATCTGCACAACATCCCCCATCTGCACTCCCCCAACAACAAACTCAAACCCGGCCACCTCCAAGGACCCCCAAAAATGGGAAAACTTCCAATCCTCAATCCCCTGGCCCGGCCGCACATTCATCATCCGCTCCCACGACACAGGCCAAGTAATCACCTTCCTCGATGGTGAAATCATCCTCGACAAACCCGGCGGCTTCGGCACCTTCCGCTGGCGCTGTGTCGAAAGAAGGGGATGGCTGGGCTTCCGCGACCCGGTTTCCGCGCGGTACATGGGGTATGATAGTCGCGGCTGGATCCGGTGCGCGGTCGACAAGCAAAATGACACAGAGTACATTTGTGCGAGGAAGCGGCCTGAGGGCGGGTATGTGTTGTTGGTGCTTGTGGAGAATAAGCTGTTGCCGATGGGGGTTTGCGCGCAGGAGATGGGGGGTGTGGTGAGACAGAGGGTTAAGATTAGGGATTGGAACTCCGAGGGGATTGTGTGGGATTTTATTGAGGTACCGTCTCCATCGGTTTGAAGGGTGGGAGCAAGAGAGGGAAGAGTTTATGGCTTTGGGGCGTTGTGGCTCGACTGATATGAGTTTTATCTGAGGTGAAAGAGTGGAGCGAGATTGCCGGATGTGGTGAACTAGGGTTGCATTTGGGACCAGTGGGGAATTCTGGACACGAAGATGTGGGTATAATAGTAAATCCAGATACATCATCAGATCTGGTATGGCAAGATGCTATCGATTGGTGAACTGCAACGGGTGGTTGGGAGTTTGGGGAATTACGATTTTGGATGCATAGGACAGAGGGTTGAAATCCCCTTAGTTTTACTCTATCTTACTGTTTTGGACCTATCTTTTCGGAAATGGTCAGGAAATCTAGAAAAAGAGAAGGACAAGAAAGTGGAGACAGTCCGTTGCGGGCGGTGGGTCACACTTATCGCGTCATTGAAGATTATCAGGTAGTAGAATAGTCACATTTCTTCACAGAATTAGAGCACATCTCATGGATGATTCAAAGGCTAAGGCTTTGAGTTCAGAATGCGTATCAATTAAGTTGGGACATGACACAGCCTAAGTACTAGTTCTCTACGTTTGAGAAAGCAGAGTTGTTTAATCCTCCATTTCTCCAATACCAACATCTTTCTATACCCTTTCACCGTTCTTGCTCAAAATATTACCGATTTTTACATGGGAAAATATGCAGTGTTTGTACAAAAGCTACCTGAAGTTCTCCGCACGAGTCGCCATCCACGTCAACAAGATGGGAACTCCCGTCATCACATAAGAGCTAACCCCAAACGCACCCTGAATGTCCTTTTTCAGCACGGCCCACAAAATACCGAAAAGCAGACTACCTAAGAGAAAAACAGCGAATGCTATCATGTTGTAGTCAGTTCCTTCTTTATAGTATATGCCCCAGCCTTCTGCCGGTTTCCCTACGCATGCTCGGAGTTCACCGGCCGTTCTTTTTGGTAGTTGATCGAGAACCCATGTCTCATCTTCATGAATGCATTGTGGTGAGGAAAGCATATGCATCAAGTCTTGTGACAGAACTGGGGGCCATGTTGCGAGAGGGCCAGCTGGTGAACAGCGATATTCGGCGTCCTGGGATGGTTCGACCTTTGGTTTTGGAGGTATGCACTCACAAATGGCTGGATTCGTTGAGGTACAGCATGGATTATGGTCTCTAACCTCGACGTTGTTGCCCATACGAAGGCGAAACTTGTATGTGTCAGACTATTTCTTCGTTGTGAACCTGCTGACCCAGGGCTTACCTTGACAAAGAACATTCCTTGTATACTCCTCATTGTTAGGATATTTCGAAAACGACTATGATTGCGCCGAATTTGCTGTTTCATGAAGCAAAATAAGGCCCGATCCGTGGATACAGAATTGATGGGATCTTGTAAAAGGCACTTCCGCCGTTCATTTCGGTGCGCACAGGCTAGAAGATGTAGCCTAGCGTTTGAATTTGTCGGTGTGTTTGTAGTCGGGGCTGACGAGGTTGAAGGGGCAGAATGGTTGCGAGCGTTGTACTGCGGTAAACCCCCTCCAGAGTTAGGGGCCGCTGCTTTAGCCGAAGAAGAAGTGATGGTAAACCGTCGTACCCAATTAGGTAATTTGAAGTTCCAGTTTTGGTTTGTAGATGTCTTACTATACGAAGTTGTAGTGATATTGGCACCTGTGGAACGGCTCATCCTGCTAGTGAGTTCATGGATCCCGTTGTGACGGTACTCCGTCGCATCACCGAAGAAGCTTTCCCCACATCTCTGTTATTTTGTAAGTAATTGCTTGAAAATTCGCATCTACATCTGATGCCAACTTACACATCTCCATCTCACACGAATCATCCCAGGCTCGAGAGGCGGCTCCAAAAAGCCTACTACAATCAACAGGTTCTCAAGCGCCGCTTGACTCCGACTCAAAATTGTCCGATGATACCGCTCTTCAATGAATCCTTCCTCGAATTCGATAGGAAAATCTACTTCAGGTACTAGACTCGGCATCTGATTCGGCAATTGTACCTTTTTCTCCCCGCTGCCCTTTTCTTCGATAGGCTTATTCAGCACGAACGCTTCAAGCTTTCTTTGAAATAGCGCAAAGGCTTCCCCGTCTGTTAAAAAATGTCGAAAATCCGACAAGTCTTGAATAAGGTCTTCGTCGACGTGATTTTCTGGGTCTTCTCCCTCGTACTCATCGTTGTCGTTGTCCTCCACTTCCTTCTCGTCCTCGTCATCTTCCTTGCCCAAGCCTTCACCACTTTTCTGGTATGAATCCATTGGATTGGGATTTCCTCTTACATTCAGAAATCGTAAAATTTGATGCTTTTCAATCACTGATCGAGCAACGTAAGTAGCCTTGATAGAGACAAGGCGTGCTGCCAGTCTTTTAAGCTCTGTATCAGCAGTCGTCTGCAGGTCTCGAGCAAACGCTTTTAGTAACCGCCGAACATTTCTCTGTAGTCTATCTGGTCCGATGCTATTTCGTTTAAGAGCAGTTTCATATAGCGTCGTCAGGTGTTCGTGCTCAAGGAAGATGCGCAGTAGCTCGTTTGTGGCCGTTTCAATTTCCATGGCACTGTAGCCACTAGCAGCTGAGATACCGGTCGCTGCAGAGCCCAGAGATGCTGATGACCAAATTGAATCCGTTTGAGATATAACAGAAGCTCGATCAGACTCATGATCGAATGGATCCTGATTCCTGTCCCAAATTTTCTCGTCATTGGCCAAAAATACCAGAGATTTCTTTATTTTTTTAACGATATCTTCCACTGATATATCCCGAATTCTGTTCCAATCTTCCTGATTATGAACCAACACCACAAGACGTTTCCTTACTTCTGCAACAATGTCTTTGTCTGATGTGGTCCTGTTCCAATCGTTGTTGTACCGAACGAACAAAGCAAGGCGTTTTCTTACATCTGCAGGTAGATCCAGATTCCCGTCCCAATCTTCCTGGTGAAGAAACAAAGACGCAACATGTGTCAATGTCTCTAAAAGAAAGGACCTGTCCCTCTGATCTACTTGTACCTCCATGAAGTTTCCTAGTTCGTAAGTAGAGCGACTGGAAATCGCCAACTTGAAAGTTCCCCTCCTCTGTGGTGGAGTTCCATTTGCAAATAAATATCTAATTCTCGATGTTAGCGCTCCCAACATACTTGGCTCGCACTCATCGAGTCCGTCAATTACGCAGAATATCGTGCCCAGCTCCACAGAGGTGACCAATCCAGCAAAGATTTGCCACAACACGTTCAGAATCTCCAACGTTTCTTTGGGTCTCTCTAGCTTCTCAAGTTTTTGATGGACCTCTTCCAATATTGCAATATGTGAATACACCTGCTCTTCTAGCCCTGGGCGTTTCGTGATAATCTGTCTTATAAGCCCATAGAGCACTGCAGTACATGTGTTGCGCTGGTTGTCTCTGTAATCGCAGAAGAAAAACACCACATCTGTATGACCCATTGTTGAAATATGTCTCTGCAGTTCCTCGAGAAGAAATGTTGATAACGTTGTCTTCCCCACGCCGGGATCACCCGAGATAAATAACAGCCGTGAGACATGAGTGTTATTGCTGACCAGCCAGGTACGGTAGCGGTCATCATGAATGACCCATTCGCATGTGCCTGGAACTCTTGGGCTCCTCTTGATAATGTTCTCCAGGTGCACATGATGATCAGTGAGAAAAAGCGCTCTGCGACGCCAGACAGCCGTTCGCTCTAGCATTTTTGTTAGATATTGACCTTGTTAACGTCCTGCATAAGAAGAAATAGACATACGCTTGGTGGTTACTTTGTTTCTTTGTGAAAGACTTGCTGCATTTGAGATCATTCTGAAGCCAGACATCCGATACTATCTGCGTGATGCTTCCTGGAAAGTAACACTAAATCTTCAGAAATGCTTTGAGAAAAATGAAGTTAGGTATGAGTGAGATAGTGTTTTGTAAGGATCAAGCTGAACTCGGCGTTTGTATCATCTACGTAGGCACCGACGCAGCACAACCCCGCCGCCCACGGCAGTAGCTCAGCCTTGTCAGCCACGAACACGCAGAGAGTATCGTCTTAGTTAAAATCGAACATCTCTTTGTGAAATCAAGAGGAATAATCAATCTCCTAAAAAACGTAGTGCTAAAGCTAATTTATTTTTGATGTTGTAGGTTGCCGCAGTTAGGAATAGTAGTCACGTGATATGGTACAGTGAGATAGACCCAGGAATCCTCCTGATCCCGAGCTGGCTATCTCATGACATCTATACCACCAAAACCCATCTCATGCATCCTCCCTTTTTTGCCCAAGACAGCTGTTGAATTTTCATATCGAAGGACACGGCGATGGGGTAAGTAATCTGAGTCTAACAAAGTCTCCAAACCTGATATCTCAGCTAGCCCCATCAAATTCAGCTCTTCCAACTTATCCTTGTGATTGTTGCTCATAGCAGTGAGATAAAAGCTCACCACTTCACATATTCCAACTATCTTCAAGCGAGTCATGCTTAGAAGGATAGTAATATGCTTGTTACTGGATTATAGGAGACACTCCAGGGTACGTCGACTCGACACACGCTAACTTGGCCTTGACTATAGTTGGCATGAGCTGCAAGGGTATAGTTTCCAAGCCGCTACCTAAAATCCGCTATCCAATGAACGCGATAACGTGATATCATCGTGTCAGCGGTCAGCAGAAATACGGACGTAGGGGCAATCATTGATGCGGCATTGAGATTGGCCATACTTAGTTTGCAGGCGCTGAGCGCGATATCGTCTTGGATAAGCTGGGCGGCGGTCCAGGGTTCTTTCTCTAGCAGATTATGTAGCAATAGCTGTTCCGTCGACGCGAAAGATTCGGATGAATCCTTTGGTATGGCACTGATCAAACCAAGATAAATATAGTGGGCCCTTCCGACATGATACATGATATTACGTGACTTGCACATAGGTTTTCCTTAGATCCGGGCGCAGTTAACAGCTGAAACATAACTTTCTGACCATAACACGCACACCAGAGCCGCCCGTGACACATGACGCTATTAATGCGACTATGCTACGGAGAAGGTTCTCAGGAAGGCTATGATACCTCAGCAGTGCGGATATTCCTGCCATTATACAACGGAACAATACCATAATCAACATTCAGGTTCTGCCTGCAAATGCAGAGCAAAACGCGTCAACATGATCAGAACAAGAAGCGGTAAGTGCCCCCAGCTTCTCCATTACAGAAGTCGTTCCTACAACAAACATGCACAAAAGATATCTGATTGAAACTCCCTACCCACTCTAATATCCCTCTTTCCATTTCCAGAACAATCTATACGTACGCATGAAATACCGATACTAACCCCCAAACATTCTATCCCCAATCCCCAAACAACAAAAACCAATTCCACAAAAGTTCCCAGACCTTACACAAGCCCAAAGCCCTTCGAACTCCGTATAGCCAACATCATCTTCGCCTCCATAACCCCCCTATCTCTATACTCAGGCAAATACAACTTCCCAAAGCACGTCGAGCTACTCGGCAGCGCATGCGGCGCGCCTCCAATCCGCGCAATATGGAACGTGATGCTCTCGTACCCAGTAACCGGTACACGGTCTGACGCCGTGACGAACTCGAGTAGGTGTCTACAATCCTCTTGGCTGTATTTCTCGACAATTTCCCAGAAGGTCTGGATAGTGGGGTTAGTGACGCTGTATCCTTCTTCGTATTTTGCACAGCGTTTGAGGTCGGCGATGGAGATGTGCTGGGTTCCTTCGACGAGGGCGCGGAGGGTGGTCGGAGTGAAGAGGTGGAGGCTTTTGGGTTTGATGCAGGATAGGAAGCCTTTGAGGAAGGATTGGAGTTGAGGGGCGACAGAGTCGTGGGTTAGTGCGCGAATGTAATCGCGGATGTATTGGGTGCGGTTTTCGTTTGTTACCATGTCTGGTTCTTCGTCGGGACTTTCGTTGCCGAATGGGTGTTTGAGGTTGTGGTCAATTCTCTGGCCGTATACCTCGTAGCTGAAGACGTATTCGCGCATGAAGACGTCTTCGACGTCACCGTCACTCCAGGATAGTAGTTCTTGGAAGCTGTCTGCCAAAGCTGGCCAGCCGTCTCTAATATATTCCAAGGCGTCTTTATCAACAGCATGGGTATGACGTGAGCTTCCGCTAGTTTGGAGATATTCGTAAAGGGCCAGCGGGAATGTGACTGGAAGCGTGATGCCGTTGTATACAGCGAGGCTAAAAAGGATGCCAAGCATCTCAAATTTCCACAGCGGTTCGAGACTCTTGGGCTGAAACCAAGTCATTCTCGTTTGCGGGTCGATTGTGAACATGCCTTGTAAAGTTAGGTCATACCTTAATTCGACTAAATCCGCATGTACTTACCGTGCTGAGGCTTGAATGCCTCACTCAGAATTACGCGGAAGAACTCATACGTTACTCCGCCATGATCGACACCAATTTCTCCTTCACCATAGCCCATCTTTACTTTTAGTGGCTTGAGAAGCATTCTTTTATCTTGACCCCACAGTTGATCAAGCGTGTCTTTTAGTGGATCTTCTCGACTGACATCCAAGACGAGGTATTCGCTAAGGGTAACCTTCAGACGGCTCTTGATGACCCACCAATAGGGTTCTCGAAGGAATATCTTGAGTGATGCTTGCATCTGCTGATTGCGCATGGTGTGGTCATAGTGCTTCATCATTTCTGAGAAGTTGATTGTGCGAAAGTAGGCGACCAGATGTTGGGCAGAGAATAGGCAAGTATACTGCAAAATGTGTAGGGTGTTTGGCTTTTCCTTCCATGCGACGAATGCCGCAGGCTCGCTCACCGCATTAAGACGCTCGTTTAGTATAGGCATTTCAAACATATTGCGGCGCAAGTTGAGAGACTGGTATTTCAAATCTGGGAGTGTTAGCTTGCCCTATGAACTAGATATCGATGGCTTACGAAGTTTATCCAGCATGACCACGGCAGTACCAACACTGGTCCATTTGTTGATCTCAGCCTTGCTATCCCATTCTTTGATTATGACGGTTCTCAGCCACTCTACGAATGTAGCTGTCACAGTCCACCCCGGATCACTCTCACTGTCTTGATCACGATTAAGTCTGCGCTTGTTTGCCAATGCAACACGCTCCACTACTTCCAAGTGATTGATAACAACATCCAAAAGTGACTCATTAGTAGTTGAAGATTCTTCATCGCCATTGCTCAGACTGTTGAGGATGTGTTCAAAGCAACATCGCGTTCCAATTGCGCGGCACAAGCGACTTGCAAGGCGTAACCCGGGCTCATATTCGAGCTCATCAATAATGTCCATATACGGGTCTGTGAAAGTATCGGTGTTAGGGACCGCATGGGGTACAATAATACCCCACGATCGCAACTTTCGGATTTGTGCCCACGTATGCGGCCAACCAATCGGCACCAGTGAGGTCAAAGCGTGTATGCATATCATGACAATATGAGCAGCCTCTTCAGTACTGAGGTAGCGTGGTCGAGTCTCTGATTTACTGTTGCTTTTTGCCTGTCCCGACAAACTGCTAGGAGAGGCGCTCTTGATGGATGGTCTCAGACGAGGGCTTTTGTGGAGGCTGAGTTCGGGAGGCGGTGCAAACAGAGCCTCCAGTGACAGGCATAAGCTATCGAAAATGAGAGCACCATTCCGGCGGTTCCAGTCTCGAAAAGAGATAACCAATCGATGCGAGTCAAGATGGGGAAGCGGCGAGTCTTTGAAGGCCGCGCTGCTCTCACGGAAAGAGGAGAGTAATGTTTCAGGGTCGCTCAGTGTGTAGAACAACGATCGATCAATAATGGGCTTTGTTCGTCGGTTCGGACGACGGCTGTCAAAATCTACGACATGATTGCAATCTGCAAGTCTTTTGTCTCGATTAGGGCGTATCTCTTCTTTGAGTTCATCTAGAATGCTGCAGCTCAGGCTAGACAAGACAGGTATACTGCGATCCATTTGGTTCGAGCTTGCAGAATTTCCGTTAGGACTCTCTAGTGCCTTTGGATTTTTTCTTGTATCGTTCGTAATGGCTGGGTTCGCCCCTCCAATCGTAAAACATTTTCTACCGGACTTTGAAATAGATAGCATGGTTGCAGCTGTCGCTCCTTCGGATGGAGTGCTCTCTGTATCTGTGTAGAATTGGCTTCGTGTTTTGCTATTTGGAGGGTGGTAAGGTATCCTATGGATATGTTGACCATTATGAACAACTTGAGCAGCTAGCTTGCCCGTTGCTGCCTTGTCATAGGCCCTTTGTGAATGTTCACATGTTGTGTGGGGCTTTGCATTCACATGTGCTAAACTGATATGTTCCTTTGCAGGCGTCAACTCCAAACTGGTGTTCGCGTCATGCCTGTTTGTCCTGGAGCTGTGTTCATTTTGGGGAGAGGCGTCATGGGAGGGATGTAGAGAAGCAAATATGGAGGCGGAAGTGGGTATTTGTTTGGTATAGGAATATATCATGGCGAGACTGTCGTACAAATTCTGACCAAGCGCCTTTGGATCCTTCCTAACCTGTTGTCTGCGCATGAGCTCGCCCATAGTGCTAACCTGCTCTTGTTGAGGTTGGTGACGGACATGCGTGTCGCCTTGGCCAGTCCCAATACGTTTATCTCCATGCTGACGTGCTTGCTGCTCTGATGGAACATGCACGACAGTGTCTTTTTCCAAACCACGTGTCGACTGTACTGAGCTACTGCCCAGCTGGAACGAAGATGGGGCTATGTTGAGGTCATGAGGACACAGCCCTCTCTGGGGGTCGTCTTGACTGGCAAGGTAGTGGGCAAGGGCGGTGGCAGTAAGGTGTGTAGGAGGACGGTGGGGCTTGGAGGCATTGCGCTTGTGGGACGAGAGGCAAGTGGGGGTAGTGCAGTAGGGGCTCTTACAGCCGTAGAGGATCTGGGACAGGTAGCTACCGTGGTCAGCGCATTGTCCCAAGGTGCACGAGCCGAGGGAGACTTACTGTCGCACAAGGTGCTGGAACTGGCGCTGGCGCTCCGCCTGGGAGCATTCCAAGACGCGACGAGGGTCTTGGACCTCTACGACATTGCTCAATCGGGTGCTGTCTAGGGCACGTGACGGATGCCTTGGCGGTTCTCCCAGCATTGCCGTGGATGATAAGGTTGGGCGGGAGAGGGTGGGCGGAGGGGTGTGTGGTTGCTCGGTTGCTTGCGACACGGCCATGTCATCGGCAGCTGCAACCATCTAAGCGCAAACAGAGAGTGAAGACGGTGGGCAGCAGTACTTTGGTGAATGGCATGGCGCGCTGGAGCGGTCACGTACTGAGCGTCTCATCTCAGACGAGCAGGTCTCGACAGGCCATAGGGCTGAGTAGCGGCCAGTGGGTTGGTCGCTCTTGCCATGCGGCTCTCACCCGCTGCAGGGATGCCATGTGCCCGCGGCTTGGCGCCACAGCTGATGTCATGGCCGTCCACTTCAATATTCGCCGCATCCCCCGTTGCTGCGCCCTTTCCACCAGTTCCGCCGTGACCAGCATTGCCCGCCGTGTCTGCATCTCAAACACCGCCTCTGGCACCCATTAATCAGCGCCGTATCATCCGGCTAGAGAATTTTGCCCCCCGGCCAGTCATAAAGGCCCTGACCTAACCGCGCTACCGTTTCCCACACTTACCCCCACCTGCTAAATCGCCTTTTATTTCTCCCCTCTCCTCTCCCCTCCCTCCGCCCCTCTGACTGCAATCACGCCCAAGCCCTGGACAACAGCAGCAGATATGGCGTCGCAAGTGCCTACCCAGGCGAATATCCAGTCCACGCATCCTTTTACCTGCAACACATGCCAGGTCGCCTTCCGGTCCAGCGAGTTGCAGCGGGCGCATATGCAAACCGACTGGCATCGCTACAACCTCAAGCGTCGCGTTGCCTCCCTCCCTCCTCTGTCCTCTGAAATCTTCACCGAGAAGGTCCTCGCCAACAAAGCCAGCGCTGCCGCCACTGCCGCCAAGGCTTCATTTGAAAAGTCGTGCTCCGCATGCCAGAAAACATACTTTAGCGAGAATGCCTACAACAATCATCTCAACAGCCAAAAGCACCGTATGAATGTGGCAAAATCCGCAAAGGGTGCGCACTTGGATGATGCCGCGTCCGTGACCGGGTCCATGGTCAGCTCTGCCTTTTCTCTCGGAGAGTCCATGGCTGAGTCCGAGGCTACTATCAATGGCGATGCCGATACTGAAATATCTGATCTCGCCCATGTTGTAAAGAAGACTACCCTCAACGGCGAGGCTCCCGCGTCAGAAGAGTCTGCTGGAACCCAAGACGACAAGAGCTCAGTCGCCGCCTCCACCAAGCCTGCTGCTGATCCTCTACTTGACTGCCTGTTCTGCAACTACAAGTCTCCCAATTTCCAGCTCAACGTCGCGCACATGAGCCGATTCCACGGCATGTTCATACCCGAGAAGGAATTCCTTGTCCAACCGGAGGAGCTGATCAAGTACCTGCATGAGAAGGTGCATGTCTACCACGAGTGCTTGAAGTGCCACAAAGTACTCCACACTGCCTCTGGCATCCAAACACACATGCGTGACCGCGGTCACTGCATGATTGCCTTCGAAACTGAATTAGAGCTTGTTGAGATTGGCGAGTTCTACGACTTCCGAAGTTCGTACCCAGACGCCGCCGACTTCAACGAGAGGGAACAGGAGGCCGAGGATTCAGACGACTCTTCGTCGACCACAGGAGGTGGAATCAAGCTTGGAGCGAGACGCGAGACTAAGACAACCACCGAAGACGATGCCGCCATGTCCAGCAATGCTGAAGAAGATGAGGGCTGGGAAACCGACAGTACCGTTTCGAGCGTGCCCACCGATGAAATCACAGCTGTCCCCATCGACCGCAGCCACCGCCACAAGTCCCTCAGCAAGTCCAAGCACCATAGCCATACTGACCCGCGTCCGCATCGCGCAGCAGATGGCTTCCACTCGCACGCCCACCACACGCCCCAAGCCGTCTACTACGACGATTATGAGCTGCACCTGCCCTCTGGCCGCACCGCCGGTCACCGATCTCTCAACAAGTACTACCGCCAGAACCTCCGCAACTACCCAGGCGTAGCCGAGCGTATGGAAGAAGCCCAGCGCCGTGCCATCCCAGGCGCCCTCCCTGCACCCGAAGACCAAGACGGCGACACTAACATGGACGCTGCCGATCAGCAAGTCCAACTCCGTGGCCGTGGCCATGACGTCAAGCGCCAGCTCATCTCATCCCGCAACAACGGGCTCCACGGCATGACGGGTGTGACAGATGCGAAGAAGAAGGAAGTCGAGGCTGTGGAGAAGAGGGATCGCCAGAAGGAGCAGCGCGCAAGGAACAGGTACCAAGCTGGCAATGAGCGGAGGAATAACCACCAGAAGCATTTCCGCGATCCACTGCTGCAGTAGTTGGTGTCGGTTTCCTTTGGGGGGGTCTGCGTTTTCGGCTTTTTTTCCTTTTGTTATGCGGGTTTCGTCACGAGTTATGAGCATGATTGGCGTTTGTGATGGACTCTTGTTTTCTTTTCTTTTCTGTTTTCCCAGTGCAGATGTGGGGAGGAGAGATGGTGAGAGATGGTGAGGGTGAGAGAGCTGTATAGACTAGCTACCTGGCCAGTTGGGCAGAAGGAACTAGGTGGAGTGTGTAGCTCATATTGCCAGTGCTGTTAGAGCATTCTTGCTCCCCCCTTTGGGAGGTTTCGGTATCAGCATTTGAATCTTGAGAATTGTTTTTGGGACTTTTTTTTCCTAATCATGTTTATGTGTATGCGATGAATAAGTGTTGATTGTATCGAGTCACGAGTCTTACTATAGAGGAGACAAGTACATTCACCTTTACCTGCACTGTCTGATGGACAACTAGCTGGACGAGTGACTAAAGCCAGAGAGATCTACGAGATGAATTAAAGCTTCATGAATTGGATGGTTGATCTACTGTACAAGGAGTTCTTCATGTTATACCCAGAACTGGACGATAATTTTCTGCCCAAGAGTTACTAGTAATCCCCTGCACTGGTACACCATGAGCAACCAAGATGCGATTGAAGCAATTTCTAGCATTAAGAAAAGTCTATTCGATACGCTGGAGGATCTTCTTAACTATGTTTGTATACGTTTTGCGCGTCGATAGTCCAAGTTGATGATATAGCGAATGGCATCTATAGTCAGCGATGTCTTGGCAAAGACACCGAACAAAGTCCTCTAAAGTTGGACCACCATGTTTTTACGATTTTACAATCGTCTTTTTTCACGTTTATAATTCTACCATCTGCCTCTGTCAGGTGTGCAATAACAATTATTGTTGCGATATGTAAGCCTGAGTGGTCCAAATTTGGGCCTATCTGTCAGCGTTAGGATATTTCCGCACCATGGTAGTTCTCTCCAAGGATGCTATTTTCGATTACGTTCCTTTCTTGCATAGAGATTTGGGAAGCCTGAATTAAAGTCTAGCTTCGCGAATATTCGATAGAAGTAGGGCAATCTCCATAATATGAAGCTGCTTCGTAAGTATGGGGGCAAACGAAGTGCCCAAGATTTGTTCTTATCTTCAATATCAACATCAGCCTTGTTAAAAATGAGTAGTAGTTTAACTGTGTCAGTGTAACGGAGATGTTCCGCCCGGATCAATGGCGTCCACTTGTCATCACCCCCTTGCTTTTGTGTCAATCTTCCCAGCCTACAGTAGCTCAAGCTCGATTTCGACGGTAGCTGCTTCCACATAATGGACCCATCCCCCATACTAGATAGTCCATTAGAATTCATACCTAGTCAATCTGCTCTGAAATGTTTCAGACCTACCTCTGCTCTTGCCCAAAGAACCACGAGATGTCCTGGTTCTAATAGATCCAGAAACCCTTTGCCTTCACCTAGCGCTCTCGGATCCTGCACCACAGTATCGACGCTCCTTCTCCACTCATTCCTGTAGTCCTGGAATTCTCTTTGTGCCGTGATGTTGTTGCATACTCTCCAAGTGAACTCACCATTGTCACTGTAAACAAAATCCCAACCTTTCTCGTTGAGCATCTCTCTTGCAGATTCAGCGTTTCGGAAAGGCTCTGACAATTTCTCATCGTCTTCGAGCGCTGTGAAGTTTCCAGAACTCGCTACCCTGTCCGTCAAAGGGCGTAAGATACTAGCCTCGAACCACGTATGACTGTTGTTGAAAGTTCCTTCTCCTCCCCATGAAACCCAACCTTGATCTGCCGCTCTCGTCTGGAAAACTATACGTCTTGGGCGCATCTTGACGAACTCACTCGGCGGATAGGGGATCGGATCAGTACTGAGGTACAAGCCTGCAACGCTAGGATGAGAGAAATCGCTCGCGTGGTATGTGCGTTCATCGACTCTGCGCTTGACCCACCAGGGGCTATATCCAGAACTGGCAATCGGATTTGCAAGCTCATTTGGAAGTATTTGTTGCAGCATATGGCGAACTTGCCATGCTGCGGTGACTGTGGCATGAAAATTGCTAGTGTAAGGTAGTAACGTGACCGTCTCGGAGCTTGCAGAAGAGCTGAAGTCAAGATTTGGCGGAACAGCATATTCCTGGATTCTGAACATGCTTTTGATATCTTCAGGCGACTTGCCTCTGATCCTATTCGAAGCTACGTCTTGAGATTGTTCAAGAAGAGCCTTGATATCAAGGTAATTTGATGCCTATGGGCCATTAATGAGCAACTTAAATGATCACTGTAAGCATGATTGATAGGCCAAACTAAGTACCTTTATGATTTTGATTAACATGCTGTTGTCGATCTGTTCCATTTGCTCATCCATGTGAGTCCACGGACCTGTTTCTCTAGCTGGATCAGGAGCCACGCGCTGCCTGCACCACTCAAGCACCTTTTGCAATACCTGGCTGTCAACCTGCCGACTACATGAGCAAACGACTTCTCATACACTACGAGCAACTAAACATACTTCCGTAATCGGGACATTGGTGCCTTGAGGTATCTCATCGTCAGAATCGACTGCGATGTCTCGAAGAAGATCTTTGATAAGAGCAGAATGCTCAGCAACCCGCCTCTCTGAGACTCGCTATTAGAGTTCGATGCAAAATGATATGGTGAGCTGGCATGTATGGTTACGTACCAACAACGAACTCAGTTCCATCACTTGCAGTGAGGGTCAAATTCTGGCCTGACATCTTTACTGGTACCTCTCACAACGGGCCAGTTGTTGTATAGCCACCTACTATCAATGTATCTTGAACAAGAAAAGGTTTCGGAAATATGACATGGACAGCAACCTGGTGCACGGTGTTAATAATTAGACAATCGACAGTAAAGGCACTTGTGCTGGTGGGCTGTGCACAGCTGCATCTCATTGTTGCATTACTAGCTCCTTAAAAGAAGGTGTGACGTGGTGAGTCTAACACCATACCCCACTCTCAGAGTGACATCATAGCTGAGAGATTATATCTGGTTGCCATGACACTTACGTAGATTCTGCTGCTTAGCTGAGAGCTGGCGGGGTACTAGACGGGCGCTGGCCACCCACATAATATATTTTGTTAACGAATCGCTGTTCTGTTTCCTCACGCAATGTCCTGATTCTTCACAGATAGTTTAGTGAGCAATCCACCAGCGCTCCTCAACGCTCTTGAGCTTGTGGCATCCTGTGACAGATAACAATGACGTCTCTTAGCTTCTAATAGTATTTCGAGCGTCTAAAAAAGAATACAGGTTCGCATCTCAGTCACGTTAAATATTTGTGTTCGAAGTCATGGCAGACTAGGCTGGAGTAAAAGGTGTCGCTGAACATTTCAAGACGGCTCCCGCATCCGCGACGCCTGTTTACGCGTGCCAACCATAGAAAGCAGCCTATGTATAGAGGGGTAAAGACAAAGGTCTACGAGTAGTCCTGACTACATTAAAAACAGTGTTGTCGCTATAAGAAATGCAACACTGTTTTGACGAATTGCGCGAGGCCAGGAGCTACTCATGCGGGGTCCACTGCGCAGGCAGTTGTGGTCTAACTAGGCAATCTGCGCGACAGTAGTAGCAGCTCCGACACGAGCGGCTAGCTAATCGGGATGGGACAAGGCAGCAAGTATGGCGATACGGAGAAACAAATCGTATTTAGCAATTATTCGTCTTTAGTGATGTTAAAGCAGGGCTGGCCCAGTAGGACCTGTAATACTGCCGAGCGGTCCGGGCCGCCAGGCGCCGTTGTTGTTTGCGTTTTCAAGATCGCGAAAACATGATAAAAAATTTGTTTTGACTTTACGGTAGTTCTCCAATGGCTGTATAAAATGATTTTTGCTCCCAAAATAGTGCAGTAGTCAAACAAGGAGAAATTAAGAAAGCTTCTTCAGCGCTAAAACCTGGAAACTCCTTGCTACGTCTCCAACGTTTAAAGAAAATTGGATCTAAATGTAGAATAGGTCCTCAAAGTCGGTGAATTGTACAAGATGATCCTTCTTGAAACATAAAGCGGGGTTGATGCGGGTGATAGAGTCGGGATCGGTCTTGTCGTAAGCAGGCAGAAGCGAAATGTTTTTGTAACCAAACCATATCATGTCTTCGTATTTTCCCTTTAGTCTACTAGGAGTACTCGTTGTATGGACAAAAGTTCCGAATGGTAGAGAGCTGCGCGATCTTGGAAATATGAAGAAAAAATACATGTCATGCCAGCTGGCCGGACCAACGATTGAGTATACTGCCCCCAACTCCAATATCAAGCAGTCACACCCCTTGACACAAGCTATCCGTCACATGAACAAGAAGAAGTGGATTAGACTGCTAGAGCTCGCAGAGATCCGAGGCATGGAACCATACCAAACCGCCATAAAGGCTGCGGGCCTGGGCGAAGGTGAAGCACAAGTATACGTGCAGGCATCGAAGATTGCCAACGTCCTCTATGAAGAAGCGGATCACGACGCAGTTGGCCTCGAGGTCGTCGCGCGCATGAAAGAGATCAAGCCCGACCTTAAATGTTTTCACTAAGCCAAACACTACTAAGGCATGAAGGCATGGGCACTTCGGCAGAGAGGCACAAGGGAATCTGACGATGGATTTAAGTGTGGACTTTGATCATGGGTTTTTGGTACATATCATTGTCGGTATACCTTGCAAAAAAAAAGACTGAGCTACGCAAGACATTCAAATCGAGTTCATTGATCATCACACTATAAACTCTTTTCGCAACTTCCCTATCCATCACGATGACTCAGACATTACAACAAGAGGGTCGGGTACGATGAAAGATCGTTGGTTTCTTGTGCATCGCGAGGAACCCTAAAGGCGAAGCCCGATGCTGCATTGTAGATACCTTAAGCCTGTGGTAATGTATTATTAGACTACGTGGAAGAAGATGATGATCTCGCGTTAAAAAACCTTGTGTGAAGATTTGAAAGTGACTATGAAAAAGGTTTTGCGGAGGCTGAAGATATCAGTTGCGGTGCGGCTGCCAGGAATTTGTTGCCAGATGGAGAGCTGTATGAAATTTGTGTATACGTGAGATTGGGACTGGCGGTTAGCAAGATAATTCGGGCCCCTAGGTTGCGATCTTGTGATGCGTTTGATGTAAGATCGAGTGAAGATTTAATCGTGGCAGGCAAGCCATCTTCGTTGTCTGCGTGCATATCTCACACTACGTTTGGTTCGAGAGAAGACGATTTGTCGCAGGGGTGAAACTGGTGACGATACTGAAGTTGTTGCTGTAGTTGCTGCGTAGTGGCCAATGTGGATTTGGGGTTGTGTGGGGTTTGCTGTGACGCTGATACCGCTTGTTATGACGATCTGCGAAAAGGTCAGCTTACTACTGTGTAGAATCCTTTTTGCGGACAATTCAGATGCCCCACTTCGAAGCCAACAACACTGAATAGATCCAGCGGTGACAGATACTACAGTTCTAGATCACGCTGTAAGAATATTGCCCCGGTTGTCGTCCGGCTATACAGTGATCGAATTCTCTTCATCTACCCCCTTGATACCCTTCCGATTCTCGAACAACATGGTGACACCCCTTTGATCTTGGCGGCGCCTAACAAGGCACCATGTCTACCACAATTGATAATAAACGGATACTACGAGAGTCATGATGAAAGCACTAGTACTAGAACTGCGAAAGAACTGAAAGGCCTGTATTGGTAGATGCGATACGGCATCACTTCTGCAGAAATCCCGGATCAGAACCGAGACGCGAACGAAAGGTAACCTGCCTCATATGGAAATCCAGTAGTTTGATCCACATACATGCGTTGGAACGGGTGGAACTGATGTCTGCGATCCGAATTGAATGCGTGACATCGAAGTCAGGAGGATCAAACGTCTATGATGCCGCAAGAGATGTGAAGGCTGCCAAGATAAAGGACCGCGCGACCGACTGGAGATAAGTAGGGGGTACCGAGGTATCCAACTGCGCCAGCCAAGAAGGCCGAAGATTGATGGATTATGAAGGCTCAAAGATGTTTTTCGCCCCGCGTCGGATGCTTATGTAGAGCCGATTAGGTTCGGAAGCTTAATGAAGTAACGCGATGACCATAAACGCGGCACGGTACGGCTAGATCGTGGTCTGTTACCCGTTTTTACATTGTGTAATTGTACCTTGTTGTTAGTAACGTCTGTCTACATCAGCAAAGTGGGTCTTCTGTTTAGGATGCTGGACGTGCAAGAAAGGAGAATTGCCCCTTATCCCAGCCTCGCCGAAGACGAATTCCATGCGCAAAAGATATTCTTCTTCACTAATCCGGGACTATGGCTCACGCTATGGAGCGTCGAATTCTCCCTGTTAGCCTTCTACAAGAGAATCATGGCTGGCATCAAGTCGTACGAAAATTGTTGGTGGGCAGTCCTATGTTATTGTGTGATTGTGAGTTTCAATCCTTTTCGATACGCACTTTGTCGGCCATGAACTAACATGAGAAAACAGTCTTTTATTGTAGTGATTGTCTTGCATATCACTGCTTGTGGACCAAGTCCTTCATTCTGGTTTGATCAAGATGGCTGTGGCGCTGATGATGGTCGGCGGCCCTTGATCAGTTTTCGGGCAGGCTTCACATCCGACCTTACAACAGATATTATGAGTAAGTTCATTCTGCTCTCAATGCTCTCAAGTAATGCTAATCGTTCTTTAGTCATGATCCTTTCCATTGGTGTCATAAGAAATCTCCGTATACCATTGATGCGCAAGTTGCAAATATGCACTCTGCTTGGGCTGGGTCTCTTGGTCGTCATTGCCAGTATCGTCCGTATGATTCAGGTCGGCACAACTATCAGCCCAAAAAGAATGACGTCGGTCGGGACGTGGCTTGCGTTGTGGAGCATAGTCGAATCGTCTGTTGTTGTTATCGTCGGCTGTGGTCCAGGACTATATCGAAAGGCGAAGTCCGTCTCCAGCAACACTCCATCATACGCATACAATAGCCGCGGTTACATCAGAACGTCGGACAGCAGAAAGGCAAACGCTGAAAAACACCCAGAAGAGCTGTACGGACTAACAATAAAGACGGAAATTTCTGGCCGTTCTAGTGAAGGAAGTAAGGAGGATCTGATAGAGAATCATGGGGCTGGCAAGATCACAGTAACAAAATCGGTTATAGCTGATTGAATGAAATGAAAATGCGTGCATCTTCACATCTGATAGAATTGGAACCCCAGAGCAACTAGCAATAGTCATTCAGGATCGGGGTTTGGCACAACGAGTTATTCCTGATGACCAGAGATGTCGGTAAACGTACCAGCCTCAAAGCTAAATATGCCATGTTGGTCCAGAAATTTCTGCTGTGCTCGCGGGCGGTGATCCTGCTGTGCTTGGAGGGTATTGTCTATCACGATGATAGGGCAACCGCTTTGCAGTTCTGCCAACTGTGAGGAGACAGACGATCACCAAATAAGTCGCCAAGGTTGCTGCCGACCAACGCCGATCCACTGCTCGTGTCTCAATATTGATCAGACATTCCATATCATCCCCTGGCTTGCCAATCCCACAATTGTTGAAACAAATCGATCTCGTGAACTTCGGCCGAAGGATGCTTGTTCATTCTCGGAAAATACCCTCGACACGACTGGGATAACATGAATCGCAATTGGCTTCAAGAGTGATCTTTCAATCTTTGATAATAACCCTTTGTATGTATACATCAACTTCAAGATGAATAGCGTGTTAGTAATGCTTCGGGTTTTCTTGATATCACCTGAATTTGACCTTGAGGCCATACAAAGAAATGTTTGGATCGTCCCAGGTTGCCTTACCCAAAGCAGACAATAGCAAAGTCCGAGACAAAAAAATGGCTAGGAAAACTTCGCGAAGTTGTTTCGCAACTGGAGAACAGGTTGCGTGTATTCTCCCACATATTGTATAAGCAGCGGCGAGGACCCATTAGTGTCGGACAGCCACAACCCAGTATAGCCACAGTGCATGTAATATACATATATAGTCGAAGGTCCCACCTATTTGCCTCCAACTCTTTTGTTCTTGAGCTTGATCGTCTCTCCGTTAACAAAGATACCCTTACCCTTGTAAGGCTCTGGTTTTCTCCAATTCCTGATCTCTGCTGCAAACTGCATGACGACCTCTTTCTCAGGACCCTCTAGTAGTAAGCGTGTCGGCTGTGGTGTGCTGGCAGTAACGCCCTTGGGTATGCCCAGCTCGACTGGGTGAGAGTATCCGACCTTCAGATTGATGAACTTTTGGCCGGGGTATTCTGAATCGACGGTAGTTGCGCTGTCCTCAACCGAGGCACGAAATCCAACACCGACGAAGCGGAGAATAGCGCTATGGCCTTCACTCACACCAAGAATATGATTCTGGAGGTATGCGCGGGTGGTGCCTGTTCATGCATTAGCAATTGAGGGAGTTTGGGAAAGGTACAGCACTCGTACCCCACATAGCTCTTTGCTTTGCATCTGTAGCATCCTCAATGGAGAGTGTGGGACCATTTGGGTTCGCATCTTGGTTGATATTGATGTATGGAGGGATATCCATAGAAAGTTCACCGAGCGGACCTTTGATATGTACTGTAGACATGGCCTGTATACGTGATCCCTTATCTCTTGCTGAAGGCGCGTTCACCTTGAAGGTGACGCCCTGGGGTATCGAGAGCGGCGCAGAGCCGATCTTGGACTGACATGGTGCGGTGCTGGTAAAACTCCTTTGCTGTGATGGTCTCGAGAATGCGGGTAATAGAAAAGTCGGTATCGCGTCAGCGGGCTGAATCGGTGCCTTTGCAAGGCTTCGGGCGCACCGTTGTCGGACTGGGGTGAACATCTTGTATCACTGCTGGTAATAACTCCCGCGAGAATTTCGGGAATCCGCAACTTATTGCTGACTCATCCAATCCTCAAGTCTCGTGATAGCGCGTCATTGGCGGGTCTGATTGGCTCGCTCGTCAGCGCCTTCCTCTTCTCATCTCATCTGGGAACACCACAAAACTCGCATTTCTCTTCTGCAAAGAATGCTGTACATTACAACAGCCAATGCCGGCGGTTGGTTTGAACTACATGGTCTCATCTTCTGACCAAAGCGGTTCGCTCTCTCACTGCCCAAAGGCCCTCCTACTGCAGACTTGCTCTCACCCAGATATCACACAAAATCTTGTTACTTTGGTACGCCGACTGCCAATCCTCTCCACTCTCTCATTATTTAGGAGGCAACTGAGTACACCACTGGGGTCTTTCGTGGTATATGCTGTCTCTCGCCCTCCTTACTCTCATTCCTTCTATTTTGGTCGTGCACTGTTTCGCTCATGATTTTGCCGTCATTTCCACTACTATGACTACCCAACAACAAAATCAGTTTCTTAATCTTTGGGGTAGGGTCACTTTTGCGAAGCTGTTGGTTTTAGGCATTTCCTTCCTTCCAAAAGCACTTGCCTACTATCACTCCCCGCTAGCAGACGCAGCACCTACTATCAATGTCAATTCGCTTTTCCAACACACAACATCCAGGAACCAAAAGGTAATCACACAAGCTATTGGGATCGTATCCTCCATGCAGAATGCACCCACATGCACCCAGATGGCCGCTTCGCACCTGATGAACGAATGCAAACTACTGGAGCATGCGCCAGAGTTTACGAAAAGTCGACCGGAAGCATATCTTGATAAAGTCAAAATTGAATACGCAGCCAAGCTAGCTGTGTGTGAACTCCTAAGCGCTCAGCCAGTCAATTCGGTTGCGCCGCCATATTGCGACATACTCGTTCCAGCTGCTAAGCATTGTGACAAAGGCGGTAGCTGGTGGCATGCTCAACCAGCGATGGTATCTGAAGACAAGCAGTGCTACCCTGATTTCAAGGAATACCAGTATATGCAATGTCTCAAGAGCCTTCAGTCAACGCCTCAGTACTGGACATCCTTCAGCAATGCTCGTCAGAATGCAATTGTCATGTGCCAGGCAAGCAGAGACGCCATTGAACGAGAAAACCACTTGGAAGTTTTCAAAAACCTAACCAAGGTTATTGGTGGTGTGACTGAAAATATGCACAAAACAACAGCAGAATACGAATTTCTGATTCGTGAACAGAGACGGTACGCCGAGGAGGTCCAAAACTCTCACCAAGAGCTTAGAGAAGACATCCAAGCGGTTCGGACAACAGCAGTTGCAACAGTGGAGGCGATAGATGAAAAATTCCATACCTTTATGGAGTCCTCGATCTCGACCCTCATAGCAGCCTTGGCTAACAGTCAAAGTAAAGAGATTGATGAGATACATGAGAGGATGCAAGCGTTCTCGCAAGACTTGGTGTTAGAGAGCTCACAGCTTGCTAAGTACTTCACCGATCAGCTGCAGCAATACCACGAAGGTGCTCTGTCTAGTCTACAATCCAATCACGAGGCGCAGGTACGCAGCTACGAGGTCCTGTCAAACCACATGGGTGTTACCCAAGACACTATCAACAAAACAAACCAAGCTGCCGACCGCTCTCTCTCCAAAGTCGACAGCATCGCCCAGCGACTTGATATCTTTGAATCGCAAACCAAGTACATTGCCGAGGGCTTTGCGTTCCTTAGTTCCATGCCAGCGCTCGTCAAATCGCTTGTACACAGAGTAGTGGCTACAGCTGGCACCATCTTCACTTTTTTTGTTCTCTTCAAACTGAACATGAGACTCGCTATATACGCCGTTGGCGCATGTAGTTGGGCTTTCCTATTCTACGCAAGCGGTGTCTTGCACTGGCTTGCATCGCCATCTTCACACACGGACGATGCTGAAGCCTTCAATCCGCTCGATATCCTTGACAACATGTCATCGTGGCAAAAGGTCGCAGGTGCGCTATTGATATTGTGGCTAAGCGCATATCCCACTTGCTTGCTCAATATCTACCTTGGCACCTTCGTTACCACGGCGCTTCAACGACTTGCAGGACTAATCTGGTTGGACGAGTACAGCAATGAAGGTGGTACTGGGTATCTACCCAGCATCGAAATCCCTGCACCAGTAGCAAATGTTACACCCAAAGGCAGCACTGGAGGCACCTGGCGGTCGCACTGGCAGGGTTAGAATTTCAAGGATTCTGGTTGATTCACTTCTGCCATTCAGAATTCATCTGAGCGACATAAAATATCAGCAGCTTTTGTCATTTTGAAGAGCATATCTAGGGCAATCGAAGGCAAAGGGGAATGCATATTTACTACCACTTTATGACGAGGAACAAAAAGCACGGGTTAGGCAGGGAGCATCTTTTTTTCTTTAACAAGTATCTTCAAGGACAGTATCATTAGAGCAGGAATCAGTACATTTTCATTCTCAGTGTAGCCTTCTCATGGGCGGGGAGCACAGGCAAAACAGGGAAATATTCGTTTCATTTGATAATCATAGTAACATGATTTTCTTCACATCATCAATTCGCGAATCGGTGTTCGATTCAATCCTCGTCATCAGGTAACTCCTCTATACGCCCCGAGCGATACGCCTCCTCAACTGGATTCTGTACATTCATAACGCCTGTAGCCTTGAGTCTGCAATACACCATTAGCAAGCCCTCTATGCAAGCACAAGAGAAAATATCAACATACCTTTCAAACAGCACAAACAGCCGCTCCGCCTCCCTCTCCTTCTCCTCCTGTGTCATAGGCTCCTGCGGCACCTGTTCTTCTTTATCCAATCTCTGTCCCGTAATAGGATTGATCGGGATCCCATTCGCGATATCCTGGGATGCATTGGATTTGATGACTTCCTCAGGCATCTGGATGTTATTCGACATGAGGTATCCAGACGCGAAACCATATCCGACGTTATGCACGAAAGTTGCGGGGTCCTTGTGAGAGAGCTCAAAGAGCATGGATGAGATGGAGCCGCGGAGGGTGGAGGTGTGGGCAGAAGTAGAGAGATTGAGGAGGCGCGAGGGGAGGGTGTCTGATTTTCCGAGGGGGCGGTCGCGTTCTTCGGTTGTAGGTAGGATCATTTTTTCCATTGTTTTTTGGACTTGTTCGGGAGCAATTTCGTAGACGCGGCGGATGAGGGTCAGGAGGGGGGTTATGGTGTCGTCTAGGTCTTTGGGCGGGTAGGCGATAATGGCTTTGTCGAGGGTTTTGATTAGGTGCTCGGCGTTGCGTTTGGGGTCGTCTGCTGGGAAGACTGCTTTTTTGCCCTCTTCGTCTTCCAAGTCCAGGTGTAAGAGCGCATTGACTAGTTCTCTTGCAGGGGCTGCAAGGGGTGGCTGGACAGTACCACTCAATACTAGGATTTTGAAAACATTGGGTATTGACTTTGAGAACTCGGGGCTCAGGTCTTTGTGGAAGTGGATGATATTGAAGACGAGTTTGAGTGTCTCGGACAGGGCCATGAGCTCCATAGGTTGGCGTGATGTGACCGAATATCGGTTCGCGTGCCGTTCTACGGCGGCATTGATACTCTCTGCCAGTTGGTTCTCGCGCACGAGCTGTGTGTAGTCGAGGTGCGCATCATAGGTCATGAGGAAAAGCACACGCGCGGCGAGGAATTCATCGTCAACACTGTCGCTCTTTACGGGAGTCAGTACGGTGTGTAGATTGAATAGGCAGCCTGTATCTTGCCTTTAGCTTTTCTGCTGCATGCGGGCCATGGCCCAGGTCGACTAGGATCTGGCGCGTTTTGGGCTGGAGCAGCAGTGCGTTCGCTATGCATCGGAGGGCCTCTTGCGAGGCCGGAGTAGTGCTGCCTTGGAATGCATATTGTCCTAATGTTCGTAGGCCCTGTCGTGGTCATTATACTGTTGCTAACCGACGGGGTTGGACAAGGTACATCTTGGGTAAATATGGGGTCAGAATTGTCGACTGAGCGCCCATATACCTTGAGCTGCTCGAGCAGATTCCTTCTTTCTGTCTAGTCGGTGAGCAGTCTTGCTTGCCATGCGCTGCGGAAGATCGTACGCTCGACCGAGAGTTTGTTTGCGTCGAGGTCGGTCTTGAGCTCGGCGAGAATACGAGTGACGTCGTCAAGTTTCGCTAGCAAAACAATGGATTAGCAGCGGCCAGGCGCAACAGCACTCGGCTTGTTGTTGGAGCACTACACACCCTTTCCTGTCTTTTGCGACAACATGGCGATCGAGGCGCGGGGTGAATGCTAGAAGATGAACCGGCGGGTGGCATAAAAGGTCCAGGGCGGGAAGCCCCGCCAGGGACATCAATGCGACCGACTAATAATCATGGTCACTGAGGGACCGTAACCAGCTAACTAAGAATAACTAATTAGACGATCCAAACCAGGGCCAGACAGGTGCAAGTGCACGCGAGACACAACCAGCGTCCTCACGTGCGTCTGGTGTTTTGCAGGGGGCGGTCGTTGGCTCGAGGGTCCGTCCGTCTCCCGGTGAATGGGGCACTTCTGCCACTTTACGCGGGCGCGTCCCGCCTAAACGCGTCGCCAACACCAGCCTTTGCATCTCGAACTGGGGCCAGTCGATCCCTCCCGACACCACCACTTGCTCTATACATTCCATCGCGCGCACGGGGACGGCCATGTGAATGCGGTCTCGATTTCTTTTTTGCTTTCCCTCTCTCTGTCTCTCTCGTTGCCAGTTGTTTCCAGCATAGCCATGGTCTTGTCCAAATTCGATGCCCTTTCTGTTCGCCCGCCAACACCACCCAAAGACCAGGAAGACACTGGCGTCGACGAGACACTACAGTTCCTCGAGGATCCTTTTGGAGAGCAGCCTGTCGCGCCCAAGATCAAGGTCGTAAAGGCGCCAAACACGCCAGAAAAGTCGCCTTCATCCGACATTGACGTTCCCTCGAGCGCGGCCAGCGCGAGGAAGAGAGTCAACTTTGAATTGCAGACATGCGGCAACATCACCAACAAAGCCCTCACACACTCCTGGACACCCACACGTAGCTCGCCGCTCCGCCCACTGCCCCAAACCCGCCTCACCAAACCGCTCAAGTCAATCCTCAAGCCCTCCGACGGCACCCCTACGCCTCCACCTGCCGACGACGCGGTTGCCGCACACAAGTTCAAGTCCTTCGCCGAGATGCTAGAGTCTATTGTGAAGCTGCTTGCTTCATCAGAGAGGTCGTCGCGCATGGATGCATACAAGTCGCTGGAGAGGACCATGCAGGCCTACGACAAGATTCCAGATGAACAGGCCCTCAAGCAAAAGATGTCCTTGCTGACCCAATTCATTCGCCGCGACTCTCAAGCTCCCAGCATGACTGGCACAGGACTGGATTCACAACTGGTTGGACAAGCAATGAAGTTGCTCATGGCTCTGTTCCGCATCCCGGACCTCCTATCTACCATGGATGACGACTTTTGCTCCTTTATCATTGAGCGCATCATTCGCATGGCTAGTGATAGCACCATACCTAAGGCTGTCGTCAATGTCCATCTTGCTGTTCTCATGCAGCAAAACTTCCGGCCCAAGATCGTGACTGTAGCCCGTGTTGAGAAAGCTCTGGACGCGCTCGACACCATCCACGAACGTGTTTCCGGAAATGCTGTGCAAGCCTACAGAATACGCATATATCGAAAGTTTATACAGCAACGGCCAGACGTTATGATCAAATACACTGAGAGATGGTTCACATATACGCTCAAAGCACTGGTGTCAACCTCAAAAGATATCGGCCAGAGTGCCCTCGATACTACTGTGACAGCCGCAAAATCCATTGGCCACGACCGGAACGTCGCCAGATCCGTACTGGCTGTACTTAACCGTACCAAGAGTGATGGAGGAACCATTGCCGGCGTCTTTGCAAAAGAGTTGATGCGGATGCTGGATGACGACCACGCTGTATCGGTGCCTCAAATCTGGGCTGCTGTCACAGGTCTATTGAAAGACTCGTTGAACGGCGACATGTTTACCGCAATGAAGGAATGGCTCGAAGTTTTTCAATCTTGTATCTCTTCCGAAAAGGAACAGGTCAGGGTCCACTCAAACGTGGCTTTCTGCTTCCTCCTCTATTCTGTCAATCTAGGACCAAATACCACCGAGGCATGGTCAAAGATGTTTTTGAGCATTGCACTGCATGCGCTGCAACGGAGCACATCCGCCAAGAAGCCTGAACGAGCTCCAATCTCCTCCAGCTACTTCACGCTGCTGTACTACGGACTTCGCCCCACAGCTTCTTTTGCACAGCTTGACCGATATTGGAATGAATTTGTGGCCTCTGTTTGGAATCCATTGATCCATTCAGCCCCAGGCCAGCATGCCATCCCTGCATGTCGGTTAGTGTCTGCTCTATTAGATGGCTCTCGGAAACCGTGGAATGAATGTCGAGCACTGGATCTCAGGCCACAGTATATGATTCAACGCAGTGAACTACCTCTGGTTGATCCAAGATGGGTTCGGAAATCGATCGCCCGGGTACTTCGATTTGTTGAAACTCTGTTGGATACCACTCTCTTGACCGAAACCAAAGACCCCGAGGACGAACCCGTCAAGGCGATGTGGCTCTCACTGATCAGCTCACTAGTTGAAGCAAGTAGCAAAGAGATTATGGCGTCTACAGAGACCAAAGATGCCACGGCGCAGATTGTTAATTTGTTGCGCCGAATCTGGGATCGACACACTGCAAAGCTGGCGGTACCGCAGAAAAAGGAGGATATCTGGGCAGATAAATTCTGCTTCCTGATAGAGACTGTTATCCAGAAGATGGGACCTTTCCAGTTTGCGGACAAGAGTCTTAGTCGCAACGACAAGAACGAATTCGAGGTCGCATCAACACCATCCCACAGGTCACGAAGTCATGGTACGCGTACATCACCACTTCTCTATTTGGTGGATCTTTTGGTTACTCAATCCGAGGGCAAACTTGCCGACCCTGTTCGACTCCGTGTCATGGAAGTCATCATTCAGCCTTGTTTTACGGCTCAGAATACTCGACTAGGGAAGTTGGAGCTTTTGCGGGACTGCGCTACGACTGTTGGTGGCTCACTCAAGGGTGCAGTATCATCAAGTTTTTGGGCTCAGATCTCTAGCTTGCTAAATGCAACACTGAAAGAATCCGTGGTCGCATCCAACGAACGTGTCGTCGGCCCGCTTGGGAAGGAATATGAGACGGTTGTCGAAGTCCTGGGCTTGGGAGCTGACTCGTTGATGAACAAACCTTGTGGCTATGAGGTGTTGTCAACTCTTATCGACACGGCTCGGCGAGAGGCTGGAGAGGGTGCACTCATCTTAGGCGTCATCGAAAAAGTGTCCGAATTTGTGATGAAGCGCGTTCCCGAAGAAGAACAGTCTTCTTGCCTCACGTATGCAAGCATATTGCTCCGCAATCTTCCTAAGCAGATGAGTCGCAAACTACTAGATCAAGGCCGACAAAACTTATGGCCTTCAAATCAATCCACTGGACGTAACGCAGATTTCGATCCCTACATTCATCTATATGGAGCTGTTGCCGCCGTCAGTGCGGCTGCATATCGGGATCTCGACAGAGACGACGTTGAGTCGAGGAAAGATTTCTTATCCGCTCTAGTCACATCAATCCAGCACTGCCCAACTTCTCAACTTGCCATATATCTCCGGAAGACACAAGACTGGATTGCAGTTTGGATTGAAGACCCCGAGGAAAAGATGCAGAGCAGAGACGAACCGCTAAAAAGTCTTCACCGTGAGGTTGTCAGAATGTGGCAAGAAGTGAGCAAAGCTATTGAGAGGCTACCAAGGAGGGATAGCCAGACTCTGCTCCACCTGGAAACCTTGATCACTGCAGGCTTTGTTAGCAGGCGACGAAGTATCGTCAACATCTCAATCGAGACCTGGAACAACACCTTTGGAAAAGAGGAAAATCTACAATATCCTACCAATCTTGAACAAGCTTTGCGTCGTCTGCGTAGCAGTGTAGACCTTTCGTTGCCCTCATTGGAAGTTCGAAAGGACGATGCCGTAAGTACCCATCTGACGTTCAATGTACTCCAGCTAACCTATGAACAGATGCACCAGCCTTCGTTCTACGAGTCTGACACCAGCACTGATGATATGAAACGGCCATTCAAGAGTCCCCGGGTAAAGGACTCGCCTTTCAAAATATCAAAATCAACGCGAAGGTCAGCGTCACGATCTCCAGCAGTTCCGAAGTCAGCATCGAGAAGAGCGCCTGCAAGGGGCACACCCAAAGCTCGTTTGCGACATGACAATTCCCAGATCCAATTTGAACCCATCGTTTCATCGCCGTCAAATCCATTCGACCAAGAGTCTCAACTGTTGACTGAGCGCCAAAAGGAAATGATTGATCGCCAGAAACACTCGACTGACTTGTTTGCGAACATTGGTGCTCTCTCACCTCAACCGGACGAAGTGCCCTTGCCCATGGAGGTTGATTCAGATGCCCTGACTGCGGATGACTTGCCAGGCCATGGTGTTCCAGCTACTCCACTAAGGGCTCTTACAGCGGTGGGACCGATGGACGCCTACCTTGGATCCTCGCCTACCCCACATACCCGGAAGAGCATCCAAAATATCGTCAGTGAGGACACAGATGTAGCGACCCCTACTGCCGTAAGGAGCATCCAGTACACTGCAAATGGCGAACCAAGGTCTTCACCACCTGGCTTCCGTAAAACAACGCAATTGGAGGCCGACACAAACAACAGTGTTGTTCTAGTTGGATCTAGTTTCGAATACCGGCAGCCAGAGAGTACATTTTCTACCTCTTTTGATGAAGGAACCACCATTGATGAGGAGGCTTTACTTGAAGCCATAGCCTATCACGAAAACCCACAAGCGGACACAGATCTCGCTATGAACAGTACAATCTCCGAGGTTCCTAGCTCAGCCATAGACCTCGAAGTGACTGCTCAAATCGACGCTGAAATGCAAACACACGATGAGCCTGCGACAGACGGAACAGAGGTAGCAGCATCTGAGTCTCAGAATGACTTTGTAGACGCTGCCTCCCACCAGCAGCCGTCTATCAGAGATGGCGACCGAGCCGGTAGTTATGCTGGGGTGGAAAACACACGAACGCCTACTCGCGCTTCCGCCCGGCGTACTTCGCGCAAAAGTTCCCAAGCTGGCACAAGCAGCACAAACAAAGTCGACGACTCTTTTGTAGTTTCTTCACAAGACACACCCAACTCGCTCCGCCGCTCTACCCGCCACTCTACCGGTATTCCTCCTCTCCCTCCAAGCACAAAGAAACCCCGACATCCCCCTGGGAGGAAAGAGAGTAAAGCACAGAATGCCCAAGCAGAAGTTCAAGACGAAAAGTCACAAAAGCAAGATTCAGTGGAGCCCAACGGTGCAAATGTGCTTGATAGCATTGCTGTCGCCGCTTCTTCAACACCCAAGAAGGCGCGCGGAAAGAAGCGCAAGTCGATGAGCAGCAGCGCCATGCCTGATCCCGATGTAGCAACCCCTCAAAGCAACTGCAAAATGAACTTGCGCCGATCGCACTCGACGCTGAACCAGGTTGAAAACTCACAGGACATGGCGGTAGATGAGACACCGGCGCCCAAGCGAGCGAGGCGGGATGACCATCAAGATGTCAGTGAAGCCAAAGAAGAGATACCGTCCAGCCAGACGAAGCGTCTGAGCCATATACAAGTCTCGCCGCGCCCACGGTCACGCTCTTCCAATCAGACCTCACCAACGGCCGATCACTCTATCGAGATATCTATGGACCACTCCACCACCGACACCACCGTCGACACCACCGTAGCCATATTCCAACCACAGCCCTCGTCCTCACTCGAACCTGGACCCGAACCATCACACCATCTCACACGCTCCTCTTCGCAACAAGCCGCCCAACTCAAAACACCCTCGCGCTCCTTTGCCGAACGCGTCATCCTCACCCCACGCAGTATCATCAACCAGCTCAAGAGCCTCAAAGACTACATATTCAGCACCCCGCAGCTTGTCTTTAGCAGGGAGGAAGAGAGAGAGGTCAGCGATGCCGTGTTTCATATCCAGAGAGGCGTGTTCACAGCGGGGCTGAAAGCAGGTGGAGAATTGGAATACGAATCGTCTGAGCGGCGATTGGAACAGTAACGACAAAGACTCAAAGAAAAAAAGCTATGACTAGGACTTGGGAAAAGTTCATTGAATTGATAAGTGTACTGAAGAGAATTAGGATAAAAAAAGAGTCTGATGTTTTGGTTTCCGTTGTCCATGGAAGTGGATGAGTATTTTGATATGAGTAGCAGGAATACCATTGTAATGTTGAATATATGAGTGGAAATGATGCTTGCAGTATGTGTGAATGATAGTTCAGTGACCTTGTTCCTATTCGTCCTATGTCGTAAAATAGTCATATCGTATGTATATGCGCCACATCATTTCTCACATGCATATGTACACGATAATCAAGCCTAGAGAAAACAGCTTACATAGTTCTAATACCACAACCTCACGACTGAGCAATATTAGAGTTGGATCTATGTGAAAAGAGTTACAAGCTATCCTTTAAGAAGTTCATCATTCGATATCTCCAAGGGTGATGAGGCTAAAATGACTGAAGATAGCAATTCTTCTTAGAAAATAAAAGTAGTTCATTAAAGAGAAATTTTGAGGACGCCTTTCTAGTACTAAGATGCAAACACTGATTACCACACAAATCTTTGAAGTTAGAAAAGAATTGGTTTGGAACACTGATTTGCTATTTAGTCATCGGATGTTCATATTGACTTTGTAAGGTGAGAGATTTGGAAGCTTGTGCGGCAATCCCCACTACGAAACCACGATCCGCTCAAAGCCTCGCTAACAATCGTTATGTAATTGCTCTATATGGTTCAGAGCTGCTTGTGCACGCACCCATGCTCCATGAAATACTTGACTCGACAGTCGCTATTTATCTCTCAAACCCTCTTATTTCTGACTACTTAGCATCCAGCACTATCACCACGAAGAACATGTCGTTTGCAAAGAAACATGATCAAAAGAATAACCCCTTCTGAGCTTATGGCGGTTGGGAGGCGCTCGAAAAGGCTTTGAGCTCATTTGACAGCAGGCAGTCACTCATGGTCAACTCACCCCATCTACTCCAGAAGTCGAGCATTGACCCAAATTGTTTGACCGAGCCAGCAACGGCGGCAGCAAATAGGGTGTATACAGTTATCAAGAGGGAGATGCAACTGGCTGACAATGAAGCGAACCCTGGTACCTCACAAGATACCGAATTCTCGACGTACTTGTGCCTTGCTACCTCCAGATATTGCACGGAAAGGAAGCAGTTAGAGCACCGCAAACTCATACTAGATGGTCTGAAATGGCGGTTCCAGATGCAAGAGCGCTTCTTACTGGCATGGCAAGAGATGGTGAAACATGGGTTATTGTCGATGGAGTGCGTCATGAGGAGGATCAGTCCTGACGCCATGGACTCAGGTATAGTTTTCTCTATCGCTAGCGAAATTGAACGTTTCGAGTACGTACAGGACTCGATCAATAATAATGACGGGTCCGAACGAATTCTGGAAGGTTCTCTGTAAAGTTCATTCGAAGATCCAACGTATTGGCTTGCTACACTGATCGCACGCTGTGGCACGAACAATATTGCGAAGGTCGTTAGATGTTTGGAGACATGGGTATACATTGGTCCCATGTCGGAAGAAGACCCGCTTGGTCATGTTAAAGATGTGGACTATGTTGATGGTATTGCGAATCTCTTTGGCTCGTTGGACACATCCCAATACTATGGCCCCATGTCGCAAGACGACGCGCTTGACAATTTTGACAATATTGAAGACGTTGACGGTGTTGACAAAGTTGTGGGTATTGAATTAAAGGGACCGGGTGAGAGCAAATACATCAACTATCCAGAGGGCGAATTCAGTACGCTGACCAACCATCAAGTTGGCCTTATCCTTCCCCATGGACAGTTCATCCGTGCTTGGGCAATGTTGAGGGCAAAGAGGTACAAGGATGTCTTGAATGCTTCTGTGGATATGTGCGGTACTGACTCCTGGGACATGGACCCGCACTTCGCTGCCATGCTGCAAGAGTTATTCAGTCAGTACCTTGTGAGTATGAGACTGTCTTGGAGACCAGCAGAGAAGCATGTGAAAATCTTGGCTGCGAGGGGCACCTTGATTAGATCAGTCATTGAATAACAAAGTAGTTTATAGATAGATAGAGTATACCTCTCTCAACTACAAAGTTTAAACTAAAATGGATTACCACAATGTACAGGTAGGATTGGTCAGTGTCTATGTTGAGCAGTTGGCTAAGCTTTCTCTCGAATCGATCAGTTAACTTTAAAAATACCTTCCGTAGATGAAGTTACTGGACATTAACTACAGATTTCTTTAGCACGCCAAGTTGCACTAGTAACGCAGAAACTGGACTAAATACTATGAAGTTACGTGCTAATATGTCTAGCGCCACGTCTACAGACTTTGCGCTGCTAGTACGTTGCTGGTGTAGTAGAGAGGCCTGCGACTTTAGCAAGAACCATTGTTGATACAGCCTTGAATGCTGCCACTATCAGTTAAGAGTATAGCTCGAGTGGAAGTAATATAAGACTTCTGGTGTCAA